GTCATGCAAACCATTCTAGTTATATTAACAATGGTTCAAGTTTTTCTGGACAGACCATCATATGTATTTTTTTGGCCTGGGAGCTTATTCAGTTTTAAGGACCCTCTTTTTAAAAGTTATGTGTTAATTTTTTAAATTGATTTTAGGAGGGGGAGGAGAGAAACATTGATTGTTGTGATTCTTGTATGTGCCCTGACCCAGACAAATGCACAACCTTGGTGTATTGGAATGGTGCCTGACCCACTGAGCTACCTGGCCAGGGCCATTAAAAACTATATATTTATGTAATCAAAATTAGGCTCAGGATATTTGAAAGGTCCATTCATTTGGGGGGGTCCCTGAGTCTTGTTTCATTAGTACCTGAATAAATTCATCTCAATGTGTATGCATTAACATGGCAGAAATACTTAAGATTTGAAATTGGTAGATTGGGTTGAGACTTTAGGAATACCACACATTTCAGGAATGGTGGCCTTCAGCTGGGCCTTGAAAACAGGCAGAATTTAGAAGAATATTCTGGAAAAGAATGGGCTTTTTGGAGTTAAAGTTTTTTTCTATGATTCCTTTTTGTCAGGAAAATAAACTTTACCTTGTAATGCTTTTGGGTTGAGATATAGTGTGAAGAAAATGCGTATTGCAGTGTCTGGCATATAGTAAGTAGCTACCCAGTGGTAACATACTACCAGGGGAGAAGAGAAAGTAAAAAATGCTTGGGATATGATGCAAAATGGTTTGAGAAGCAAAAGGGAGTCCAGAGTGGGTAACTGAATATTCGAAACAATAGGCAAATGACTTTAATTGAAAATGAGGTTTTTCTAGGAACAAGATACATTGGAGTGATCGGTACTGTTCCTATTGTAGAGTCATGTCTAAGCTGTAGAGAACCAAACACTAGATCTGTGCTGTCTAGTATGGTAGCCACCAGCCACATGTGGCTATCAAACACTTACTTCGTGACTAGTACAACTAGGGACACTGAATTTTTAATTTTTTTTAAAGATTTTATTTATTCTTAACAAGAGGGAAAGAAACAGCAGTATTCAAGAGAGACATCAATCAGTGGGTTGCCCTCACACACTACCATTTGGGGGGCCTGGCTCACAACCCAGACTTGTGCCCTGACTGAGAATCAACTACAAGCGGTTTCAAGTACAGCATCTCACCTACTGAGTCATACCAGTCAGGTATGAATTTTTAATTTTAATTTAAACATTAATAGCCATGTAGTAGGTCCTCAATAGCCACGTGTGGCTAGTTCTACCTTATTGGAAGCACAGATGCAGAACATTGCCATTATTATAGAAAATTTCATTAGACAGCACTGCACTAGACTAGGAAGTGCAGCTCATAGTGCTATGAGAATTCACAGAAGCAGAAGGTGTATTTCTAAGTTTGGAATAGTTAGTAAATAATATGCTGAGGTGATAGACCTTGAATTCTAGGTGTTAGATTAACAGAAAAAGGTGGGAGTAGCTTTTAGGGAGTTTAGGGATGGTTAAAACAGCATTGAGGACCTTTTGACTAGTATGTTAGGAAATGATTAGAAGTAAGGTTGACTAGTTAGAGCCAGAGAGTTTATATGCTTGTTTAAAATGGTTGGTGTTCATCTGTTAATCTATCTGAAAATATCACAGATTTGGGAAAATAATCTGGCCGTTGTACCTTAGATGAATAAAAGGAAGAAAGATACAAAAAACCAAACAAACCAGGTTTAAGGTGATTGGGAAGTGAATGAATCATTGTAGCAAGAGTGTTGAATAGAAGAGACCTGGGGTGTAAATTTGAAACTTGTCCATGTACAGATATGGGCAATTGCCCTACTGACACATATCCTCCTATTGGGACATCTTTATGTTCTTGGTTCTAAGTATTTACTTAAGGATGAGAGATTCCCAGGCCTTTGTGCTCAGAGTATCTATTCCTTTTGTCAAGGAAATAGTTTTTATTTCTTGGAGTTTATATGATTCTTTTGGGTGGTTTTAAAACTTTTTATTAAGTAAATTATTTTTTTACAAAATAAAGTTTTCTGCAGAATCTCCAAATATTACTTACTTGTTTTGTATTAAGAAATTAAAAGTTTTTTAAAAGGTTTTATTTATTTATTTTTAGAGAGAGGAGAAAGGGGGAGAAGAGAGAGAGACATGATGTGCAAGACAAACAGCAATCGGTTGCCTCTCATATGCCTATAACTGGGGACCTGGCTGGCAACCCAGGCATGTGCCCTGTCTGGGAATCGAACCAGCAACCTTTAAGTCCTTGGGTTGGCACTCAATCCACTAAGCCACACCAACCAGGGCAGAAATTTAAATTTATTTTATTTTATTTGTCAGTCTTTGAGAAAACGAGGCTATTTTTTTTAAAAGATTTTATTTCTTTATTTTTAGAGAGGGGGAAGGGAGGGAGAAAGAGAAGGAGAGAAACATCAATGTGCAGTTGCCTCCTGCACGCCCTCTACTGAGGATCTAGCCTGCAACCCAGACATGTGCCCCAACTGGAAATCGAACCTGCGACCCATTGGTTCATAGGCCAGCGCTCAGTCCAGTGAAGGCAGAAAATGCCAGGGCAGAAAATGAGGCTATTCTGAGAGAGCCAAATTAAGCACACTAGTTGCAGCCTTGTTTCAGCCTCAGAATCCAATTTTATTTCTGTATTTTATTTATGAAATACTGTAAAGATCCAGTACTGACATAAATAGTGCAAAAAATTGTTCTTGTTTGTTTAGCTTGCTTTCCCGTCTCAGGACATTCAGTTGAAAAGAGATGGAAGAAGACATATCACTCTTAGGTCTCCCCAAAATTGTTGCCCAAGCAGTACAAGTTCATATGTTGGTGGGTCTCCAAAGGGTTATGGGTTGGAACACATGAGTGTGTATATATTTGTTTTAAAAATACATTTAAAAATTAATAAATGAAATCCCAAAGAATCCTGGGGTTCTGTGGAACACAACTTTTTGCTGCTGTTTTTAAGTACAACCTTTAGATATCCTTGCTCCTACCTCTAGATATTTTTCTAATCTCTTTTTTTCCTGAGAACCAAAAGACCAGCCTTTTCCAAGTGTATTCCTTATTAATAGTTAATACTTCATCAAAATGGTAGATTAAACAATGTTTAAAAAATCATTTTTGCTGCATAATTTCTCAATGCCTTTAATATACATTATGCTTTGTAAAGATTAGTGTTTCCCAAACTTAGATTCATTTTTTTCTTCAAAGGCCATAGTGTCTAATGGAACATCCTTTGGGAACCCCGGAACCACTGTAGTAGAAAAGGTTTTATATGATTTTTTGTGTTTGTCCCAGAATTTACACATTGCTCAGTTCCATAGTAGGCACTTATAAAGTAATTATTGACTGAAAGGATAAAGTGGGATTAGAGGGCTGAATCTTTGGGGTGGGGAGGGGTCGGGTACTGTTGAGGGCTAAGTAGAGGAAGGAAGCAGTGTACTGTAAGATATATTTTCTGACCCCTCCCTCTTTAAAGCAGTTTTACCTCCTGTTGATTTTTTTCCCCATTGTCCTGAGGTTGATTTCTACTATTTATCTTTGTCAAGTAGGATAGTGTTTAAATGGCTGGAGGTTTTATTGTAAAGCCTATCAAAAAGATGGTCACTTGATTAGGATCTTTTGTTCGCAACTAGAATTTCAGCCTATTTAAGTTCAGGGAGACTCGCATTCATAAGCATTCTTTCCATTGCACCATGTACTCAGTGTTCATTATTTGATAGATTTTTGTGTTAAATATGATTCTTAGAGCATGAGTCAGAATTATTCAGTTTATCCTTAATTTTGTTTCTATTTTCCAGCTCAATTCCTATTTCCAGTAAAACTCTTACCTTCTCTAGTCACTCACTCCCTTGCCCCAAATCCTGTGGTTATGTATTTTAAAAAGAAGCGGAAAAGACAAATACAAAAGCAGCCAGCCATTTGGAGCTATTTCATAGATATTTCAATAGTTAAAATAGATTACATTTGCTATAACCTACAGGACTATTCATTTCAGAAGTCTAGTAAGTTAGGTACTTTCTGTGTGGAAACCATGTTGCCTTTGCCTCCACATCTAAATTATTTTTATTTCATTCACTTTTTTCTTTTCATCAATTCTGAAATAATTAAAGAGCTGTTGTTTCTTTGGCGTCCTGGAATCTTTGTTAGGGTAGGATTAACAGTAACAATTTAACAGTGTTCCAGGTTGATGACGGTTTGTAATATCCTATTACACATTTTGGCAAGTGTATAATCTTAATAATTTTCCCTATCCTAAATTGCTTTAACCCCAATAAAACATTCACTGAGACTGCTTCCTCTTTTTATTACCTGGTTCTTTCCATTATAACTTGAGTGTGAATTAGTAAGACTTATAACCTCCACTTCCACATCACTTAACTCCTTAACTTGTAAGAAGAATTCTTTGCTCTCATTCAACTCCCTTAGATTACCAGCTATTTTTTAAGCAAATGTACTTTTTCATAGTTTCAATTTGACTGTTTCTATTTGCAATTTTTATTCCCTATCTCCCCCTCCCACATCACCCCCCCATTTGGTTTTTGGCATTCTTTTACTGTTTTCCCATGGAATAGTAATTAGAAGTACAAGCTTGACATTAGACTTAATATTCTAGTTAACCATATTTTTTGCCTAACTGGGGGCTATTTTAGGTTTTCTTGTTTTTGAAACTTGGGAGTATGTGAACGTGATACACACAGTTTTTAAATATATTGAGGAGTTGCAGACAGCCTCAGTCATTGATATAAATGTTAGTGCTATGATGTAAGTTACATATTGGACTAAATCTGAATAACAAAAGATTGTTTTATGGAAGATTTTGTTTTTAATAGCTAAGCTATGATGAGCTAACTTGTTCCTCGTTTTTTTTTTTTTTTGCTTGTTCCTTTAAAACTTAAAATTAAAAAAAGCAATTCACATTCACTGATGGTTCCAAATTGAGTTCCTGATTTTAGATGTTCACTGTATTTAGCTTTCCCTGGTATAATCTCCATATAGGTAGAGTACAGAGAAATGGATGAAAGCTTGGCCAACCTCTCAGAAGATGAGTATTACTCAGAAGAAGAGAGAAATGCCAAAGCAGAGAAGGAAAAGAAGCTTCCCCCACCACCTCCTCAAGCCCCACCAGAGGAAGAAAATGAAAGTGAGCCTGAAGAGCCATCTGGTGAGTTGTAATAACCAACCACAGTTTTGTTTTATCTTAAAATAAGAATAAATGGATTTATTCCTATTTTACAATGATGTTTATGTCTTTATCTTTGGTTTCTACTGATGCTGACTATGTGTTTTAGTGTGTGCATATATGCATATACCTGTGAATATACACACGTATATGCATGCATACATATACATAGTGGTACTGATGCTCTTCTTGTGTGTGTGTGTGTGTATATATATAGGAGGAAAATAAAGTAGGGAAGGTAAAAGGATAGTAGCAGTCAGTATAAGGCAATTTGAAAGTTGGAGAAAATAAACAATTAGGGAAAACATACAGAAAGCCAAATCCAAAGAGCCAAACTTCTCAGTGATAACTCGGATTCAGAATTTAGAGATAGAATGGTTAAGAAATTACGCATTTACCAAGCAATTAGAAAACTTGCATGTTGTGGATTAATTTGAGAAGGATCTTTTCCTGGTGAGAAATTTTAAAGTATATCTGAGGTAAAAAAAAGAAAAGACCTACTAGGTACCTATTATGTTTCATTATTGAGCCCTCCAATCAAAGGAATGGTATAAGAAAAGAACCTTACCAATTCTTTTAGTCCTGAACCTTTTAAAAACAAAATGCTTATTTCAGATGCCATATGCTGTATCTTGCATGACTTTCATATGTACCCAGATTAAAGCATACATGCATTTCATTTACAGAGTTTTATCTTTAATTTTAGCCCCTTTTTTTTAAGGTTTTTCTCTGTGATGTTATATAAACTGCCAGACTCCTACTGATACGTAATTTGAGAGGATTACAAGTCAGGTGTTAATTTAAACTTATATTTAGAATATACCAAACAGATTCTGGCTAAAACCAAAAAATGAGAATTTATAATTATTGTAACAAAGTATAATAAAAGAATATAGTTTGAGAACATTTATAAAAAGATAATTGGATTCTGGGTTCAGTTCATCTCAGAAATGGGGTTTTCTTAGAATGATTTTCCTAAAACTTCCTTAGAATGACTTCTTGGACAGCTTCCTGTTGGGAGTACATATTACCTTTGGGATTAATGTCCCTGAGGCAAATGTAACCTTCCCTGTACCTCAACACCTCCTCTCTTTTTGTTGATTCCCCCTTCCCTCCTCTTTCTACACTTATATTTAGCTCTCCTTCCTTCTGTCCTTATCTCCAGGTCTTTCGTTGTCTGTTTCCTTCCTTCCTGTATTCTTTAATTCTTGCCTTTTTTTTTTTTTTTAAACCTTTGCTACAGACTGGCTGATGAGATTCATGGGGATAATCCTTTCGATAGCTGTGTAGCTCAGGTAGCGGCTGATCTCTTAGTTCTGGTAGCTGATCTGATACGCTGCTTCACCCTCTTTTTTTGTCTAGTTGTCAGTATCTCCAGTAAGTAACTGATTGACCGTAGATGTCAAGTTGATGCATACCTTCTTTGTCTTCTGAAAATTTTAAACCAGATCTAGTGTTGGTGTTTTCTTTTTCATGAAAGCAGCTCTTTGTTACTTGTTGTTGGTTGGTTATCTTTTTCCATAAATGTCAGGCACTGTTTCTACAAAAAGTCAATATTTTAAGAAAGGATTTAAGATTTAGGGAACTGTCTTTATGCTCTCACGTTCTGGTTATCTTTAATCCAGTGGTTTAGTGTAATTGTCTGAGTATTTGCGGGGGGGGGGGGGGGGGAGAATTTAAAGTTTTATTTGTTAAGTTTAGGATATTGTCTATGCCCAGAGATGTGTTAACAGCCAAAACTTGCCAATATAATATGGTTATGAAAATAAAGTTATTTTTTCTTTAAAACAGCTTAAAATAAAAAATAAAAAAAATCCGGGGTGAATGAGGGAAATACTTTACTCAGAAAAGTAGTGACACAATTTACTAGCTTATATAATTTAGAAACAGATGGGGCCCTAATGGTGACTCATAAAATATTAATCAGGTGAGTTCAAATATTTAAAAACTATCCAGAGTTTCCATCTTTCTTGACTTACCAGTACCGGTTCTTTAACTTCAGGTTTTATTCAGAAATTGAATGTGAGCATTGCCATACAGATATCTCAAAATCTTGAGAGGAGATATGAGTTTGGTTCTTTACCAGATCTTTTCTTCAGCTCATTTTAGGTAATAACTAGAAATTAAGTCCCTCGCTTAAACTATGTAAGTAACATGTGAGTACACTTCATTCTTACCAGCTTTTAAATTTATTTAGAAAGTTTTGCATTGCTTTCCACAGTGTAATCTTAGGAAAAATAAAATACGTTGTTATGAAACCTCAAGGCATTTGAAATCAGTGAGTCAAACAATTTGACTGGAGAAGATTTCTTTTAGGAGAGTTCTAAGAGGAGGCCAGAAGGGAAGGTTGGAGCTTTGGTTACCAGGCTAAGGAATTTAGACTTGATTTCCTTTAAAAAATTGGGAAGATCTAGTCAGGGGAACACTGAGGTTTTTTTGAGTGAAGGTTGATGTACCAAAATACATGATTTGGAAAAATCAATCTGATGTGCCCTCTAAGGGTGAGCTAAAGGAGTAAAGAGCCTGGGATATGACAGATGACTTAGGCTATTTTGGTAATCAAGTTTAGTGGATTTGGGTCCATCGAAAAATGTTTTTAATATCAATGTTGAATCTTTATAGAAATGAAGTTTGGAGATTTTGTTTGTTTGGATTTATTTAATTGGGAAGCTCTCTGTTCTGGCTTAAACATCGTTTTTAGATTTGTCAGTTTTTGTTAACTTGATATGGCATGTAGTCCTGTGGTAGTCACATGGGTGAATAATGTGTTTTTGCTCCTTATCTTTAAACTCTACCTAAATTGTTTTTTTAAACATTTCCATGTATTTTTATACTTACTATATACTCTGGATATATTTGTTTTAACAAATGATGGTTTTATTTGTTGTCTTAGTAATTTTCTATCAAGGTAAAAGTGTTTTTTATTTTTTAGAACATGGCAACCAAACCTGATCAGGTTGTCTTTGGAATTGAGTGTTTGGTTATTGGTAGGGTCACATAATAGTAGAGCATGTATAAAATAGGGTAAAATCTCAGTTGGCATCCTCGTTTAGAATAATCGCCCCTTTGTTAAAGTAGCCTTCTATTGGAGAAATTGTTTTTTCCTTTCTTAACTTAGTTGTTATCCTGTGTACCTTAGATTATTCCTCAGTGAGGATTTACTATATTAACTGATATGCTAGCACTTAGCTTTTTTATTTCCATACAAAAACATGATTTTTTTTTTCTTCACTGCTCTTCAGCAATTGAAATTTTCTAGAAAAACCTCACTTGTAGTTTTTGGATTTAAATTTCATAATTGGATAACTTTAAGAACTCTGGTTTGTGAAGACATTACATTTTGGGTTAGACATAGCTTAGTTGTGTATAGTGTAAGATTTTTACGAAAAGTCTTAAAATACATTAAATGAAATTTGAAATGGGCTACTAAGATATGTTTCTCAAGACTTCTTCAAGTCAATAGATTTCTAAATTAAAAAAATATATATGTCTGTATGTTTTTTGTTTTTTTTCCCCCCCAGGCTCAGTAATATTCTAATACTCTAATGAAGCTGAAAGACTTCATTAAACTATTGGTTAACTCTTCAAACTAATTTTACTAGGTATGGTTTTCTGACCAGTGACAGCTCTGTGTTATACTCTATTTTATTCAATGACTATGGGAAGAATCACTTTATCTCCTGTTTATACTCTTAAAAGAATTCTTATAAGAATATAAACAATGGAAGTACCTGCTCTCTTCTCTCTTTTGCATGGTAATTTTGGAAGTGTGTGTTTGAAAGAGATAGAGGCTAGTAAAAAAGATTACAAAAATCATTTGTGAGAGAGAGATGGGTATGACAGAAATTTGTTATGTTCTTTCTTTAAAGATTTTAGTTATTTTTAGAGAGAGGGGAAGGGAGGGAAACATCAGTGTGCGAGAGAAATGTCCATGGTTGTTTCTTGTATGCCTCCCACTGGGGACCTGGTGTGCAACCCAGAATGTGCCCTGACTTGGAATCGAACTGGTGACCTTTCAGTTTGCGGGATGATGCCTAACCCACTGAACCATACCAACCAGGGCAAAATTGGTGTGGTTTTCACTTTGGGGCCCTATTCATATAATAGTCATACAGTAGGTTGAAAGTATTTTTTAAAATCACATAAAAGGAGATGTAACCTGAATTAGTAAAAATACTAAGTTATGGAAAACATACAAAATGTATATATATGGGTAAAAGAATTTAGCTTAAAATTCAGTGAAATTTGATTACAAACACTGATACCATGAAATTATCCATATGACAGAAGATCAATGACCAAAAATTTGGTGAATTGTTTATTCAGTAAGACAAAAATCTAAATGGCAGAATCTTTTGGAATATCCTTTGGAGTTTGGTGTGGTAGAACTTGACCAGAGAATTGAGCACGGATTCCTTTACTTTAAAAAGAAAAAAAATCAGTGGCTCCAGTATTTGTAGAGTGAAAATAAATAAATAAATAGATATATAAAAAATTTAACAACTGATAATCAACTTATTAAAAAGGTTGATTTAGGCATCTGCATTGGTGACTTCAGCCTTGATTCCTGGCTCAATGCTGATGAAAGTAATCTGTTTAACAACCTCAGAAGGGCTGTACAAGTTAGTGAGTCATTTGTGAATCCTCATCTTAAGTTGCTGGTGTCAAGTCTTAGAACCCTTCACACAGGAAGTTTTTCTTACAGTGATTCACAGAGTCTTGGTAGGCATCAGAACTGGTCCTTTCACTTTGAGATTCTTTTCCTTTGTGCCTCTGATCAAGTCAGCAGCCACCTCCTCCAAAGACTTTGTAGCTGGTTAGAGTAATTCTAATTCTGTGAATCACCACCTCTAGTTCTACAGGTGTCTTTCTGGTATCTTTAAAAGCCACTGCTGCAGTGCAGCTTCCTGACCGACTTGTTCTTTGACTTGTTCCTCAGCCAGAGCAAACAGTGGTGAGTCAGGAGCAGGAGCAGACAGGATGGCGCTAGTTGCAGCTGCAACTGTATCTTCCTCCAAGGACTGGTCCTTAATATTTTTAGAGTTCTTTTTTTATAAGGTGCCCTCATTTCCCCTGTGAGGCAGTCAATACTGATTACATAGAGTTTGTACAAGTGCTGGGTTTGGCAGCATTGGATAGTTATTTGGTCAGAGTTCAGGTGAGTAATTTTTTTTATCATGCTATAAGCTATTTCTCAAGTGGTTTATTCTAGGCTTTTATGTTGCCTTGCCTGCAAGTGTAGTATGAGAGCAGGAATAGCTTTCAGGTTCCGTGACAGTTGACTCAGATTATCTGCAAAGGAAAGACAGAATTCAGTTACACCCTCATACCCAACTGGAGACGGAGACCCTCTTTTGTAGATTTACTAGAAGTTGCTGGGAAATTCATTCCTTCTAGAATTGTTTATATTGCCAGTTTGGCCTGCTAGTGTCAAATAAGTGCCTGAAGTCATTTAAGTTCTCGTTATAAGAGGTATGATGCATACATTTACAAAACAGACCTAGGATTAATTTTCTTGCCTTTTTTTGGCGGGGATGGGGACATAAAGCATCATTTTGGTTTTCTGACTTGGAACTGTGCTCCAAAATAATTTATTGGAGGGCTGAAAAAAAAAAATGTCACTGGCTTAAAAGGTAACCTAGATTAGTTCAACAAAATTTTTTTTTATTTTGAGAGATAACTATAAATAAATCAAGATCTGTGTATTATTATAGAACATACAGTCCCCACTTTCAGATAATTTATAGCTTACAAGGCACAAATGTACATATAAATGTGAAGTAGAAGCAAAAATACTCTTTTTTAAAAATCATCTCCCAAGGATATATGTTTATTGATTTTTTCATAGGGGTGGGGAGAAAGAGAAGGAGAAAAACGATGTGAAAGAGAAACATAGATTGGTTACCCCCTGTGCCTCCCCCTGAGCAGGGATCAAACCTGCAACCTAGGTATATGTCTTGACTGGGGATTGAACCACAACATTCTGGTGCACAGGGCGATGCTCCACCCAACTGATCCACCCAGCCATTTGAAAATGTGAACCTGTAGGTCAGTATGTTCCTACGAAAACAGACTAATGATTCTAACATCCTTGCTTGCCAGACAAAAGTATTTCAAAGTAATCACAGACTTTCTTTTAAGATTCTGGAAGAGTGTATCTTAAGAATTTGAATCAAGATGGAAAAAGATCCAGTAATGTGTCTATAACTAAAATACTAAATGTTCAAGAATTACCTAACAGATCTGCAGAGGTTTACTGAAAGGCAACTGTGTAAGATAAAACAAAAAGATTTCATTTTCAACTTGGAGAAAATAGGCACAAGTAACCTGTAAGGATCTCTACTTCAAATTTGAGAGGTGGGGGATGGGTGGGGGAAAGAAAACAAAAGGAAATCTGCGAAGTGGTGCCAAAATCAAGGTGATATTAAAAAGTTGCTTTTGCAAAATGACAACTATCAACAACTAAATCTAAAAAACAAAAACAAACTATGCAAACAACTAGAGTAGGAACAGAATCACAGAAATGGAGATCGCAGGGAAGGGGAGGGGGAGAATGGGGGAAAAGGTATAGGGAATAAGAAGCATAATTGGTAGGTACAAAATAGACAGGGTGGTTAAGAACAGTATAGGACGTGGAGAAGCCAAAGAACTTACATGTATGACACATGGATATGAACTAAGCAGGGGGATTGCTGGTGGGAGCGAGAGTGTAGGGAGGGGGATAAAGGGGAGGGAAAAAAATGGGACAACTGTAATAGTATAATCAATAAAATATACTTTAAAAAACAAAAATAAAAAAAGTTGCTTTTGCATATTTTCATTTTCTATTTTGAATTTGAACTCATGAAAGAGAACTGTACTTGCCGGCTGTTCCATCTCATTGTGCCACTGTCAGAAGCAGGGCCCTGGGCTGGAAAGAACCAAAGAGCAAATGAATATAGCATTTTTATATGCTTTAATCTGAGACACTACCTGGATAGAGAGTTAGCTGGAAATGTTTGTATGTGTGCTGTTTTTTTGTTTTTGTTTTAAGATTTTATTTATTTATTTTTAGAGAGAGGGGAATGGAGGGAGAAAGAGAGAAATACATGGATCCATTGCTTCTCATATGCGCCCCAGCAGGGGACCAAACATGCAAACCTGGCATGTGCCCTGACCAGGAATTGAGCTGGCAATGCTTCGCTCTGCAGAATGATGCCCATCCAACTGAGCTGCACTGATCAGGGCTGTATGCGTGCTGTTTTTTAAGAACATGATGAAGAATTGACTTAGCATACCAATAATAAAGATGAGATTTTCAGATATCTTTGGAGAAATAGGACCCTCAAAATAGTCATGAGTGTATTATGATTAGAGAAAAAATAGCAACCTCATCTTTACTTCCAGACATGTTATAAACCATCACCACCAAGTCAATAGATAAATTTATTATTCCTTTGCTTAATATTAAGCACTTTTTGTTTGGTTTTCAGTTATTTCTTACATGTTTATATCAACTTCTTTCTTGGTTTTCTTCTGTTTCTCTGCATAAATACTACTTTGGATCTTCATATCTTCTACATCTTTTATCAAAGAACAGTATCTTTTATAAAAGCCTGCCCTACCAGTTTGTTAAAGAGCAACCTGTTAACCTTTTGAGCGTATAACTCAGGGGTAAGAAATCCATTTTTCTATTTAAAGTACCAGTGACAGAAAAAAACAGAAAAAACTCAGTCAGGAGCTACCTGTAGATTAAAATAAGCTATTAGCAGATTGCGTGGCAAATAGTGGGAAAAGAAGGAAAATGATAGAAGGAAAGATAAAATAATTCAGACTTAATGGCTGGCTTGAAAGAGGTTTTTTGTTTTTATTTATTTATTTTTAGAAGTGGTTAGATGCCTCATGACAAGAGGTTGCTTTTATTCTTTGCCAAGCTAGGAAATATAATTGGAGAGACAGAAGCTGTATTATTCCTAATGCCTAAATGTTGTTATTGGAAACCATATTTATATTTTTGTTCTGACCTCCCCTCTTCCTTTTTTAAAATACAGTTCAATCTTCTGATCAAGCTTGGTTCTATTTGGAACCAAACAAAATAATGACAATTTTTTTAACTTCGATTTTCTTTTATGAACAAATCAGAAGTTACTAAGAATGAACATTTTTCATTTAAACTTTAAAGGTAACATTTTAAATTGTAGGACCTGAATTTTCAAGATAAGTTACAGATTGGGTTATGTAATTGGAGTCATCTCTTCATAATTATATGCCCTTTTCCAAAGGCTTTAAAGAGCAAATGTCATGCCTTGTGCCTTATTTGAGAAGCATAACCTTCTAGAACCTAAAGGATCTTTCCGATAAGAGCATAGTGAGATAATTTCAGAATGAGATTCTATTCTACCTTCAAAGCAGAGCACATACCTTCTAGCAATACATTTTTATATTGTCAAAAATCATTTCTAATTTCATATTCTTAATGATAAAGTTATTTTAAGGCTCACAGACCTGTAAGGGTGTTGTGTTAGTTTCTCTTTACTATTCCTTTGAACTCTAATGGTAGAATAATTAATCTGCTTTCTAGTTGAGATTCTTTTAAAATAAACTGTTTAAATGAAGATTGCCCAATTTTTAGATCACTGGGAGGTGGTCTTTTCATTTCTTTCAAAGATCACACTGTAGTTTTCCATAGTGTACCAGGTGGCTAGGAGTATAAGAGGGTTGTGGCATCTGTCCTGGTGATAGATTTTAGAAGAGCCTGGAAGATGATCTATTCTGACTTTATCAGATTGAATTTTCAAGCTGTGATACTTTTCTTGAAGTTACTTCTTTCTATACATTAGTCAGTGAGGAAATTTTCTTAGGTTTATTGTGAAGTTCCCCTGAGGTCTCGCCTGCCTTCTGTTTGTCTATCCACAGTACTTTGCATATGATAGCTGGCCATCTTACGGTGTTTTGAAGTTTTACTAAGAAAGCACTGGCATATTCAAATATAGCATTATCTAGTCTGTATAGTAAATAAAACTTCTTTTGGAACTGAATTATTTTGTTACATACACTGCTTTGAAGTCAAGGGGAGAATTTTTCATTAAAATTATAATTCTGTTACTTCTTGTCTTATGTATATTCTTTTTAGATACAAAGACAAAGAAAAAGATTGAGTAGATGCTGACTTGCTGCAACTTCAGATCCTAGAGCCCATGTCACACCCATTCTCAGTCTAGCAACAAGTAGTAAAAGACATTGGGAACCCTTTTCCCCACCCCCGTCCAACCTTGACTAATACCTAAGACTGGCAGCAAGGATTTAGCAATTAGAAATACTGTGTGCTCTGTTCTGCTACCTTTCAACAAGAATCAGTGTGTAAAGTTGAATTTCCTGATCAGAATTTTGAAGACTATGATGTGATTCCCTGGGCCTTGATTCCAGAAGGAGCTCTCTGATATGGGTTTACTAGTTGGTGGTGAATTCAATAGTCGCCAACTATTAGGCCTTTATGTCCAGATATTATCTCAATTTATGGAGTAAGGTCCCTGAGTTCTCCTCTTTCCTTCCACAGGGCAAGCAGGAGGACTTCAAGACGACAGTTCTGGAGGGTATGGAGACGGCCAAGCATCAGGTGAGGGTGGCGTTAGATGCTTGCCACTTAGTAGCAAGAGCCGCCAAGTTAGGGATTGATGCTTGCAAGTGTTTTTGGCTGTGGTATCCACGTTTTAGCCAGAAGCGCAGGGGAAATTTAACCCACAGGACAGAGTAGTTTTAGGAAAGTGTAGCCAGAACAAAGGCAAGCAAAATCTTTTGAAGTCCTCAGGCCGATCTCAGCCCTCCGCTCTTTGTGTTTTTAAGGAGATGGCGGGTAGTTTCCCCCCCCCCCAACAGCCTTTATAGTAACAGTAAACATGATGTAAAACGTAAACTTTAGGAGTCATGGGACCTTCAAAAAGAAATATAACTGTATACACTGAGAGGAGAATTCATAAACTGAATTTCTTCACAGACACACACAAAAAGGGACAGAAAGGCATTCTAGGACTAGTAAGAATTAATGCAGGCAAGTGTCTCTTTTTAGAAATGGTTGTTACATAGTGTTGGGTAAATTTTTTTTCAGTTAACATTATGTAGTTAATTATTTTGCAGTTTAAACATTTTGTTTCTCACATGAAAATTAATTTTTAAAAAAATCTGCTAGACATGCTCTTTATTTTCATACCAAAGATGAGATTCCTACTTCTATGAAAAAATAAAGGGTTTAATGATTTTCAGGGCCCGTTTGGAACAGTTACAGTTTGGTCCAGGAATCCAGGGTAATGTGTCTTTATTTCATCCTTTGCCTCTTAAAGAATGTTTTGTGTTCCAGTGTTAAGGCTGGTTTTACATTTTGATAGACTTGGAGTAGGCGTTACTGTATTTTTGGAGTTCGTCACTTTTTAGCTGTTAAGTCTACTTTACAATTATTTCTCTATTGTAGTTTGTGTACATCAGGTCCAGAGACTATTTGTATTTTACTCTCTTGGAGTAAATGATAGTTCAGTGTTATTACAGAAATTAGTATATAGGGGATCCAGAATGTTAGAAACAGACTTCTATAAATGCTAGTTGAAGGATTGGCTGTTGATAACCAGTACATGGTTGTCTGAGAGGAGTTAAAATCCTCAGTCAAAACTTCAAGAATGGTTTTCATCAAAGAATGCACAATTGGATCTTCCATGGAATTGTTGAGAGTCAGAGATAACCGTTAGAGGTTTAATCTTGAAGAAATATATTGTTTTCTTGTTGCTTTTTGTTTTGTTTTTATGTGAATAAATTTTTGCTTTTGCTGAAGTAAACAATCCGTTGTGTCACTGAAACTAAAAGCAAACTTTCATATAAAACTGTGGTGCTATGGGCTTAATATTAGTAGGACAAGAGTTTTAAGTGTTTCCAGGAATGGTGGTGTCTATTCTGAACCCTTCAAGATCTTCCTTCAGATCTTTCTCATGTTCAGAAGCATGCATTTGTGCGATTATCAGTCAGCATTAGAAACATGCTTATGGGTAATTAACATTCTTCTCAATAAAGCCAAATGGCCCTCATGAGTGTCTTGGGACCAGGAGCATATCTTGACTTTTTAAAATCCATATCCAGTTGGTATATATATTCTAACTCTTAAAAGTTAGAAGGGAACTGAAGTCATCTTGTCTAGCTTCCTAGACAAACAGGTAGTGTTGTATTACCCGTGTTTTATGGATTAGGACCTGAAACCAAGTTGAATGACCTAACCAGGGATACACCAGCAGTTGGGTGAGTGGGAACCCAGAGGTCTTGTTTCTTAAGCATAGACTGTTCACTACACCCTCCTTAATGGAATCACTTAAAGTGCGCGTTTACTCTGAAAATAAAACATCTAAAGCGTAAGAAATCATATGGTTCTCCTTTTTTCCTTTTCTTTCCTTCCCCTCGTTGTTCTTTTTATTTTTAAACCATTACAGGACTGGCTATGGTGCATCTATAATGAACTGATTTTAAGTAGTCTTTAATACGTAGATCCTGTCAGGTTTTCATTTTCACTCTTTAGCTAGAAACCTAGTTATAGTTAATTTATCTACTTTATGGGGGGGGCAAATTACTCTTGTGGAGGCCTTCTCTGTTTTTATATTTGTTTCCTTCCTCTTCTCAAGATACTGCTTTTATCGTACCAGAGGTGGGGTGGTGCGGAATGATTTCACGGAATAGAAGGCCTGTATCCTCACCTCTCCTCTTCCCCATTTCTGCCTCTATAAGTGATCTATCCAGAAAGATAGAAATTATTCCCTTAAATAATTTAACTACTTTTACTATGTTTTCAGAGAAAGTGTTGAGCCAGTCAGACCAGTAGAAGGGGTGGTTGTGCTTTTAGCATGACTGCATTTTGAAAGGTGATGCTAAATTTCTTGTGTAGAGTTATGAGAAAGAGGAATTGAACAAAGAACAAGATGGGCATATAGGAAACCTTGGGGCTTTTAAGAAATTTAGATTGCATCTTTGAAACAGTCTCAGTTTCTAAAATACCAGATTCTAATAAGTATACACAAACACCAAAGTATAAAGCCATACTCGAGCCAAGTGTAAATTATTTCTGAATTATCTGTACTACAGATACTTTCTTTTAATAAGGATATTTAAAGTCAACTGTATCCTTTTAAGGTTTTTCCCTCTAAAGTAGATACTTAGGAGTTAGATTACCCACAGCGGTCCTTTAGTTCATTTTGGAAATATCCTACTAAAAGGATGTTTTCATTTAGCTTCTGAACAGTTTAGGTTCCAAATTAATTTTTGTTTCTTGGAAAAAGGTTAGATTTTTAAGATTTTATTTATTTATTTTGAGAGAGAGGGGAAAGGCTGGAGAAAGAGAGGGACAGAACCACGGGTGTGTGAGAGAAACATCCACCTGTTGCCTCTCACATGCCCCCAACTGGGGACCTGACCTGTTACCCAGGCATGTCCCCTGACTGGGAAACGGTGCCCGATCCACTGACCTATACCAGTCAGTGCATAGGCTAGATTTTTATCTTGCATGCTTTTCACTTTGATTTTAATAATGGCCTTTCTTCCTTGAGGTAATAGTCTTTATCCCTCAAAACCAAATGGAAGGAAATAGGTACCAAGATTTTTATAGAGACCATTTCTCATTTTTTAAAATTAATGAAGTGTTTAAGAATAACTAGGTTTTTTTAGATGTTATGCAGAAGATTGAGATGGAGAAGACAGTTATTCCATGGATACACTAATGTCACAACTTGGGTTCTTTAAATTCTTTTTTCTAAATTTTTCATGTTTGATTTAAAGATACTTTAAAACTGCCACATGACTTACAGAAATAAAATTGCTTGTTACATAATCTCAAGATTCCCAAAGTTAGCCAGCTGTGTTGGTTTGTTTGTGTTTTGTGGGTTTTTTTTTTTAACATTTATTTATTTTCAGAGAGGGAGAAAGAGAGGGAGAGAAACATCAATGTGTGGTTGCCTCTTCAGTGCCCCCTACTGGAGACAGCCTACAACCCAGGCATGTGCCCTGACTGGGAATTGAACCAGTGACCCTTTGGTTCGTAGGCCAGCACTCAGTCCACTGAGCCACACCAGACAGGGCTAACCCACTACATTAAAGTGATTTTCGATGATACACTTGGAGTGAGAAGTCAAATGTAATATATAATTTAGTGTTTTTTCCTACATGGTTTTCCTGTCCATAGTATTTTGGACAATATCCTAACCACAGTATTTTACAGTAGGATTGATGGTTAGTGCATTTTTAAACATATAGAAGATAATACAGCTAAGAAAGAAAAAACATCTGTTTTCGGGAGGGAGAATTAGAGTTTATAGAGTTTGTTAATTTTTACGTTAATAGTATACACTCATGAAATATACCAAGAAGTAACCTATTAAGACAGATTTGCTCCTAATACTCCGGATTATTATTATTGTTATGTAGATAATGCTCCTTGTAATGTGATGTGTTTTTGGTCTTGGGTGGGGTTTTTTTTGTTGTTGTTGTTGTTTTGTTCTTTTTTTTTTTTTTTTTTGTGGTGATTTGATTTGGCGGTAGAGGACTGCGAGCACCAATGCCGTAGTTCTAGAAAATTCCACATTACTGAAATAGCCTGTATCGCCTGATAGTCAGCCGTTCTCCTTTTCTCATTTTAATTTAGTACTGCACCCTCAGCAATATGGCTTTCAGTGATTATGTTTTTCTTTAGGAATAAGTAATTACCCTGACATTCTTTAATTTTAGGTTGGGATTCATTAAACGTGAGGCTTGTTAATTTGATTTCATAACTTGAACACAGCATTTTTGCCCTCATTATCTGCTAGATAGGTTTTTCTTCTTGTCTTCATGACAATGTTTCTTAATGTGTAACCCATATTAACATTAGGCATTTTTACTTGACCTCTTATTAACCATTATTTTTCTCTAGGTAGTATAGTGTTTGAATGTCATTATGGGAACACCTAAATAGCTGAGCTATAAATTCTGAGTTATAACTTTGAACTGCCTTGTTCCTTTTATTCTCCTCATCTTACCTAATGCCTTACTAATGCTTTCATTATTCAGTGCTTCCAACTTCTTACGTGCTTTAAAATAATTAAATATGGATATCTGGTGCCTATTTCGTTACTTACATATAACTATTTCAGTGGTATTACATTTTGAAACTCTATTTAAATTGTGTTTTGATATTTCATAATCTGTTGGTTAAGTATATTTTCATAAACTGATCTTAGAAATACAAGTAAAATATATGCAAATAATATTTCTAAGGACATTTTGTAAAGTTGTACTTAACTACCAGCATAAAAAAAAAATCCATTCAATACCCAGTTTAAAGAGTTTCAAAATAACATATATTTTACTTATAGAATACAAGATACATATATACAAGGTCTGTCAGGAAAAAGTCCAGCCACTTCTAATATAACAAGAATGGTGTGCGCAACATCAATGTAACCGGGCATTCAGGCGAGTGGACTGGAATGCGCATGCGTGAACAGTGATGCCTTCACTGCACTAGTCAGTGGGGGCAGTAGGTGCCATTAAGTGAGCATGTGTACTCTGTGGCCCTCATATTCAAAATGACTGAGAATAGAGCGACAAATCTGCATCAAATTTTGTGTTAAAGCTTGAACATTCCTCCACAGAAACTATTCAGATGATTCAGAAGGCCCCAGCTATGGGCAGTTGGTGATTGACAGCTTCATCATGACAGTGTGCCTGCTCATGTATCACGTCTCGTGGAGAGGTAGAGAGATTTTTGGTGAAACATCAAATCACCCAGGCGACTCCGCTTCCCTGCAGCCCAGATTTGGTGCCCTATGACTTCTGGCTTTTCCACCTTTGAAAGGGAAGATATTTGAGACTGTCGATGAGATTCAGGAAAATAAAAGGGGGTAGCTGATGGCGATTGGGAGAATTGTGTGGGGTTACAAGGTGCCTACTTTGAAGAGGACTGAGGTGTCATTGCCATATGTACAATGTTTCTTGTATCTTCTTAAATAAATGTCACTTTTTCATATTACATGGCTGGATACCTTCTGGACAGACCTTGTATCCATTACATGTATATGTACTATATAGTAAATGCAGTAACATATTTTACTTGCAATATGTGGTAAAGTATTTCTGAAGTTTCTGCCAGAAAAGATAAACTCCTTGCTTTCTTCTGTCTCATTACTGTAGTCTGCCTAACTTCTCTCACTGCTTGCTAGCACTGAATTATGGGAACTAATGGATGGTGCTGTTGAGATTGTGTATTTCGTACTGTTGGTTATCAAACCTTAGAGTCATTTTCATGTTCTTTGCTCTAATCCTTAAAGAGGGCAGGTGGTTGTGTTATTTTACTCCATAGCCTCTTTTGCTTTCTGTTCTCTGTGTTTTCCTTTATTCTGGTTCTTTAGTTTTAAAATTTATTGTAGACTATCAATGATACTAATTTTAATTAATGTATTTTCCAACATTATAAACTTACTTTGTTAACACAATGTACCAGTGCCTTGCTATGTTTTATAAAGTATATTATTTCGCTCAGTAAACTGTGATTTTGGAATGTTAAGCTCAAAAGAGTGACTAAATTATGAGGATATTTTAGCTTTTGAGCAATTTTTTTTTTTTTTTTTTTTTTTTAAGGGAGGTGGGAGCAGGCTATAAATGAAGCAAAGCTTTACAGAGTTCTTCAGGCCAAAAAGGAGTTTGAGGCCTAGTCATTATCTCTAACTTTGTACACACTTGCACTTTTCCCAGAAGTCCTTTTCTTTCTTTGCTAGGCGTGGAGGGTGCAGCGTTCCAGAGTAGGCTTCCTCATGACCGGATGACTTCTCAGGAAGCAGCTTGTTTCCCAGATATCATCAGTGGACCACAGCAGACCCAGAAGGTCTTTCTATTTATTAGAAACCGCACAGTAAGTTCTTTTTTCCACCTCATTATAAAAAATGCATATTACTTACATAGAGAATATGAGGAAAAGATAGAACCATTGTTAGAGATTGTTTTTTTTTCCTTTGATATTTTTAAAGATGTGTATGTAATTCTTGTTTTAACAGAATTGAGATCCCACTTGCTCTCATTCTTTGGATCCATTTTGTTCCTCATAACCTCATAAACACAATAGGAGTGTTTATAAATTTTTTAAAAATACACTTTTAAAATAATCACTTTGTCTTTCCTTCTCAGGATAAGAGAAACCATTATTCTCCTCTCACCTGGTTCAACCTCCTCTGGCTAAATAATTGATTTTAATGTTTGCATAATATTTTGTTTGTTGACTCATAATTTAACTGTTGGACACTAAATGTCCATTTTTGCCATATTATGATTGAGCTCTGAACTGCTTTTATATATTTTTGACTCTATCTCTGTTTATTATTTTCTTATGATAGAGTTCTAGAAGGAAAACTACCTTGTTAAAAAACATGAACACTTCTTAAGTTTTGATACACGTTGCCAGGTTGCGTCCCAACAAGGCTGAACCAGGTGACACTCCTGCCTGTCCCTATTTTTGTTATTAAAACTATGGTAATCTGTGCTGCTACACTAGACCAGAACTATTTTATTAATTTTCCATTTCTTGGATGACTTAGACTTACTGCTTTTTCACATTTATTAGTTACTTGTATTTTTTCTGTGAATTTTTTTTTCCATGTCCTTTATCCATCATAAGTTCTTTAACCATAGAGTAGAGGAGGGCAAGATACTATTCAGAACATATTTGTTATATTCTAGGATGATAAAAAGCAAATTGACATTGTAATTTAACTATTTTGAATTAAGTGCAGAGATGTCATTTTAACATGTCTGCTTTTTAGCCACCACCAACTTTTTTATTTTGGCTGTTAGACTGCAAAATTACTGCTAAATTAGGATTGGTTAGCTTGAGTGGTGATTGGTAGGTTATACTGGGGTTTTGTAGTACAGAATAATGGTTCTCTTGTGAAGAAAAAACAGGTTAATTTTTCAAAAAGTGAGTGGAAAATTCTTAATGTGTATTACTGAGGCTGATTTGTTTGGTAATTGAATCCACATCTGTGTATAACATATCAACATTTTGATCTAAGTGGATTTTTAAAGACAAAACTGCCTTTTTGTTGTTGTTGTTGTTGTTGTTGTTGTTGTTGTTTTGTTCCATCTGAAGGGAGTGTTCATTTATGACCTGAGCTTTATTTCACAGGATGGAAGGAGGAAGAAGGCTTATGGTAGGGGGTGAGGAGCTTGGGCCCAGAGTATACTTGAGGAATTCCATTTTCTCTTGAACAGTGGTCACAGAGAGAAGTAGAGATGCATATGAATTTGGTTATACTTCTTAATTGGATGTATTTACACATGACCAAATTTCCCCTTCGTTGAAACTTGTATGTGGAATAATCTTTGTTAAGTTTTAGCTAAGTCTTAAATATGATGGTATGTAGTTAGTCTTATATTTTGAAGATGTATATTCAATTTGGAGAGAAAATGTTAGAGCCCATTGATTGTACCACAGTATTTTTTTTTTTTTTCATTTCTCATCTTACTGCTTTTTCAGCAGTATTTAAGATAAATGACCACTCCTTTTTTTCTTAAACATACTGCCCCCTTAGCTTAACATAGTGTTACGGTTTTTTTCCTGATTCCCTAGTTGTTGTCTTTTCCGACTGCTTTGTAGGCTTATCAGTGGAACAACAGGCTATTATGTGAACTTGTTGGAGTTCCTTAAGGTCTCTCCTGTCTCCTGTTTTTCCTCCAGGACCCCTCTTTTACATTTTTGGCTTCAGTCATCACCCATAAGCGAATTGCTCTAGACCTTAACTCTCTCCTCTGAGCCCCAGCTATATATTTAGATGCCAGTCTTTTATCTCCTTTTGATTGTCTTGAATAAATATTTTTTAAATTGATTTTTAGAGAGAGAGGAAGGGAAAGAAACATCATTTGTTGTTCTGCTTTTTCCACTTATTTGTTGGTTGATTCTTACGTATACACTGACCAGGGATCAAACCTGCAACTTTGGTGTATTGGGATGATGCTCTAACCAACTGAGCTGCCTGGCTAGGGCTTGATTGTCTTGGAACAAAACTCATTATCTCTTCTTTCAGTGAATGGCATACTGACTTATTTAGTTGTATAAGCCAAAAACTGAGGAGTTTTCCTTGGAATCTCTTTTTCCCCACCTCTGTATATCTAATTGATCATTTGATTTTTGTCTCTTGAGTCATGTAATTCAGGTTTAAATCCTAGTTGCTCCCTACCAGCCTTATGATCTCAGCAAGTTACTAGGGTTTTTTTTCCCCCCCTCTCTTTTAGGTTAAATATCTCCCAGTTACTTCAATAATTTGCTCATTTGACATGGTTTTGTGTTTCATTAGTTTCTCTGTCAGGAATATATAACCCTTATTGTTTTCAGTGAAAGGAAAGCCCATATTTGGGGCCTTAAAAGTTAAAAGGATATTTTAAAGTGGTCAAATGGTATACATCTAGTTGTATGTAATGCAATTTCTATCATTTAAATACAGTTGCAGTTGTGGTTGGATAATCCAAAGATACAGCTGACTTTTGAGGCTACTCTACAACAATTAGAAGCACCTTACAATAGTAAGTAATACATTCAGTGACTGGTATGGACTAGGTTGTAAAAATTGATATTTCCTTCCAGGAGCCTCATGGTTCCTTGGTAATGAGTTTTTTTTAAAAAATTCATATTTCATCTTATTTCATCTTGTGCAAAAATGAGCCTTGTAGAAAAGCTATTTTGTATTTTCGTAATTATTTTCCTGGTTTTTAAATTGCATTGACAGATGAGTAAGTTCAAGACATTGCTAATAATTTCCCCAGACCTATATCCAACTTGAATATGTGGAGTACTTTGTTGGCGTTCAGTTGACTGGCTGTCTGGCTTTCTCATTTCCCACTGGCCACCAACAGAGTCCTGTGAAGTTTTCGCCAAAGTAAATGAGTATAATACTGCATTAAAAAGGGTTGGTTTTGACTTTCATTTCCTCTATAAAGGAATGTCATTCTTAAAATTCCTAATTATGTGATATTCATGTTGTACTACCTCACAGACTAATAGTTCTAAGAATCACTTTTCTAAGGGAGTTACATGACCTGAAGCTTATGGAAAAAATGTATAGAATGACTTCATGATGGAGAAATAGAAGAGTTAAGGAATTTTTTGCTTAAACTGCTAAAAATATGAACATGTTTTTAAATTCATTTATTCTGTAGGTGATACTGTGCTTGTCCACCGAGTTCACAGTTATTTAGAGCGTCATGGTCTTATCAACTTCGGCATCTATAAGAGGATAAAACCCCTACCAAGTAAGGACCTGGCCAGTGCATTTCATGATTTTAAGTTTTACTTCTAGGACTCAATTTTATTTCCAGGAGGATTTTAGCATTTTATTTTGATTTCTAAATCTATATTTGGAGTCAAAATATTCCCAAGTTTATAATATAAATCAAAATTAAAATCTCTTCATAAATGCATTTCCTATAATTTCTGGTTTGATACTTAGTAAAAGGTACTGGACTCAAAGTATAAAATTTGTTAACAGTGAAAGAAGTGACATCTGAAAGCTGAAGGTTTGAGTTATTTCTCATTGACCTTTTTTTATTTTTATAGTGCTCAAGTTTTTGCATTTCTGTTTTATAAACACTATTTACCTCTTTCATGGTCTCAGGATAATGTCTGCCAGGAATCCGGGAGATAGCGATATTTTGAGAATTAATACGTTTATTTATTATTTTAAAATACATTTATTTTTGATGCTTCAGTAATTCTTCCAAAAGAGATACTGAAAACTGTAGAACTGGAGCCCAAAGAAAACTTATCCATCGTAAGTCAGCCAAGGGTCATGGATACTGAAGCACATGACTGAAAAAATGAGAAAGTAAATCCCAGCATAAAGGATTTAATTTATCAATTTTCAATATGGAATTAAAGTTTACAAGTTTTATATATTTGCTAATTTGTATTTAGTTACCATATTTTGAAAACAACTGCCTGAATTATTTACTTTGTAAGACATCATGACATGTTAAGAAGTTTTCATGATAAAATACCATAAATACAAATTCAGACCTGCAACAAAGCTTTCTAATTTTTGTTTGTTTTTGGCTTTTAGCTAAAAAGACAGGAAAGGTAATTATTATAGGCTCTGGAGTCTCAGGCTTGGCAGCAGCTCGTCAGTTACAGAGTTTTGGCATGGATGTCACACTTCTGGAAGCTAGGGTAAGAATTTTATTTTGGATTTAGAAACCTGACCTAAAAGAAATGTAAGGAAGTTATTTGTTGGAAATTAAAAAATCATTTAACCTGAACTAAACCAAATTGATTTGTATTAATACTCAAAGCATTTTGGATAGTGTTATTTATATTGAAGCATTTTTGACATTAAAGCTTGGAAAAGTGCTCAGTGAGGATTTAGAGTTTGGGAATGATCCATATATCCTTTTGATGGATATTCGCAGGTCATGCCTACATAGACATATCCTTGTAGGAGGCAGTATTTTTAGTAGTGGAACAGAGTAAATTGTATTCCTTGTTTGATAGTCAAGGAAAAGGAGTTGCTTCTCAGACAGCAGTCATACTTTAGGGCCTGATGAAGTCAAGATACTGGTTCCCTTCTCATTAGTCCTAGAGAGAGAAATGGAAACTAAAGAGGGAAAAGGATGATGACCCAGAGTGGATAAAAGAACATCATGTTAGGATACTACTATTCATATTATTTGCAGAGTTAATTTTGAGATTTAATTATCTTCCAGTGGCTTAAAGGCCTCCCTGGACTCCCACTATTTAAAGAAACACTTCTCAGGGTAACCTCAACACCCTAAAATTTTATAAAAGCTCTCAAAATGTTTAGTACAATCCAGATTGCTTTTTATAAACTGCTAATTTTTAAAAAGTCTTTTCAGATATGGGGAAATCAGCAGTAAACAGTTTCTAATACAGTCTTACTAAAAATATTTTATTCTTTAACTCAGAAAACAGCTGTGTCCCCTCTGTCCTGTGTGCTAAAAATGCTGTAAGGAATGATGGGATTATTATGATCCTTACCAGTGTGGAATTTTAATCCATTATATGGGTTTTTGTTTTGTTTTGATTGTTTCTTTGCTTGAAGTTGGTGTGCCCATATTTATCCATAGTTGAACTATCACTATAGCTGAGCAAGGTTTCCCCCTACTTGAAAATCCCTAGTGAGAAGAGCTAAAACTGGGCCTATTTAGGAATGAAAGTTATGGTTATGCTCATTAGACGCTCTGTCCCTGGACATGGGCCTGCTCTGGAAAACTCTTTGTCAAAGAAGTCATCTATCAGATCATTCATAGCTGACTTTGGGGACTCAGAGCTCAGTGGTAAAAAGGTGGCATTTAGTGTTGCAATTTTTAAACATATCTTCAATGTGTGTGACCCTTGCTTAGCCTGTCCATTAATGGTATTAGAAACAGCTGGATAGAGAATAGTTGCTATGGCTAAATATGTTTTCTATCAAATTTTTCCTACTTCACATCATAATTCTGTGCATTTTTTATGTCATTCATTACCTGCCTCGCCCTCAAATAGTCTTCCACTTACACTTCATTTGCTCCTTATGCCCACAGTGCTGTTTTTTGCATTTAGTTTAAACTCTAAACTATACCCTTTTTTTTTTTTTTTTTTTTTTTTAATTACAAAAGACAGGTCTGGGATGGTCCCACACCAGGTTCTTAAGGTGAAAATAGAATTGATGATTTTAGTCATTTAATTTCTGAAAACAGGATCGTGTAGGTGGAAGAGTTGCCACGTTTCGCAAAGGAAACTATGTAGCTGATCTTGGAGCCATGGTAGTAACAGGTCTTGGTAAGTGATTTTATGCTGTTCTACACATCTGAGACTCATAAGACTGTTGAAACTTGTATTTTAAAGCCATAGATGCAATCTTAAACTATATTGGCTTAGGATACTATTTTGAGTATTTGTCAGAGAGAAATTGACAAGTGGTCTTTCTGAAAGGATGTATCAATATGTACAAAATTTAAATTGTGCAGACATTTGGACCTAGCAGATGCAGTTCTAGGAAATTACCCTAAGAAAGTCGGTAAGTAGACCATGTTGTGTTTGGAGCATTTTTAATGTGGCATAGCAGAACATTAGAAACCACAGATTAGAAAATGAAATTGTTACAAATGAGAACACTACATCCATATTAACATGAGAGGATTTCCACAATTTATTGTTAAGTTGTAAAAATATTAGAAAACAATGCCTGTTATGATCCTTTTGTATATGTGTAGGTCTGCACATAATATCTAGAAGGATCTGTAATAAAATATCAACTAACTTTGTGGGATTTTAGTTAATTTTTTGCTCCTTATGCTTACACATTTGTTTTACTTTGGGCATTTTTTTTTTATATATATAATACCAAACTTAAGGTATTTTAAATTTGTGTAAAAATATTTTTGCTTTGAGTTTTTTGTTCTCTTTTCATAGGTATGTTGAATTTAATCATCTGAGTTTTTTCTAGGAGGGAATCCCATGGCTGTAGTCAGCAAGCAAGTGAATATGGAACTGGCCAAGATCAAGCAAAAATGCCCACTTTATGAAGCCAATGGACAAGCTGTAAGTTGAGGATAAACAGAACTTTAAACATTTTTTTTGGTTCAGTTGAAAACAATTTTGAGGAAAATGTATGGGTGAATATACACACATAAACATATGAACTGAGGACAGAAATGATGTGATGTTCCTTCTGAGCTATATAGGAAAGGATTATTATTGCATATATGCAAATTTACCTTTATCTTTAGACATTTAATGAAAGCTAGCTAGACAGTTAATCTTTTTATTTAGCTGTAGCCACCTACTCCAAGAGACCTGTGTAATTGACACCCGATTCTTCCTTTCTGTGTATTGTGCCGTCCATCATGTGCTTTAGCTCTGTGTGCTCTTTATGACTTCAGTTTTGTGTTTGTAGGCTCAAGTTTTTAATGGGCGAATAGCCAAATGGTGGTACTTAGCCGATGCTTCTGGTAGGAATTTGTTGACCCTGACGCATAGGAGCTTCCTTTACTTAGTATGGCAGTAGCATGTAAGTGCTAGTCATTATGAGAGAATGATAGTAATTTAACAACTATACAGTAGGCATTTAGCAACTATACAATAGGCTTAGACTGTGTAAGTCAATCCTAATTTTTACAGGTGAGCGAAATTCAAAAGTTTGTATTCAGCAGAAGTTTTACCAACTCCCCTATCAGGGGTAAGGGTATCTACAGTTCTGAGGAAGGGAAGATTTGCTATGTATATGGCCGTTTAGCTATTGTTACTGAAAGTGGTAAGATCCCAATTTTAGGTCCCAAGGGACATTATAACCTATTCCTATATACCTTTAAGCTTTCTGGGGTTCATACCAGAGAAGGACAGACTTTGAAGGAATGCCTTTTGGTTCTCATCTCTCCCATTCTGAATCCAAATTTCCTTCCAAGGTTTTTGAGGGGTTAGAGTGGGGTAGGGTACCCTTCTGGCAGAAATAACAAAATAGAATGAGAGAGATAAAAAAAAAAAATGAAAGAGAAGTTACCTCAACAATTCAGTAAACTTTTAGTGCTCTGCAAAGATCTGTAAAGGGTATAGAGTTAAATAAGACATTCCCGGCTGTGTAAGATGCCACAGTATAGTGGCACATGTACACAAATAATTATTTCCTAGTGTTTTATTGTGGAAATTTTAAAAAATATATTAAAGTAGAAAGAGTACTATAATGGACTTCCATTTTTTCATTCTAGTCTTGTTTCATCTATCCAGCCCCCTTTTTGGCTTCATGTATTTTTAAAGCAAATCACAGCCCTGGCTGGTGTGGCTCAGAGGGTTGAGTTCTGGCCTGCGAACCAAAAGGTCGCTGGGTTTGTTTCCCAGCCTAAGGCACATGCCTGGGTTGCAGGCCCAGTCCCCAGTAGGGGGCGCGTGAGAGGCAACCGCACATAGATATGTCTCTCCCTCTCTTTCTCCTTCCCTTCCCCTCTCTAAAAATAAATACATAAAAAAATTTTTTTTTTTTTTTTAAAGAAAAGCAAATCACAGTCAACAAGTTTTTATTGAACATTTACCAAAGTCTAGGCTGTGTTCTAAGCACTGAAGGTGTATTCTCTGCCCTCAAGGAGCTTAAATTTTAGTGACTCCAGATATCTTATGAACTCAAGAGCATCAGTAATAATAACTGTTATTAAAATGGAAGTAATTTTTTTCCCCCAAGGATATTACTCATGCATATTCCAGTAACACAAAGACAAGGCAAATTTGCCAAGGGTTAGGTAGAGGGATCAATTGCTACTGAAGAGCTGAGAGAGAGTCTCTGGAGGTAGGAGGCGAATGGGTGGGGAGAGATTTAGGGGGAAGGAGAGCACTTGTGAAGGTGGCTTAGGACTTTTAACATGTGGTGGAGGGAAAGGTGTTGGATGGAGGCAGAAGAAGGTGTAAGAGAAGTCGTAAAGGAGCATGGGATCACACACTGGTGAGTGGCTGATGATATACAGCCACAGTTTAGGGTGGAAGCTGTTGCTTACTAGGCTGATTTGTAGGTTTGAACTTCACAAGATGTACAGTAGGGGAAGTAACGTGAACCAGATGCGTTTTAGGTAGGCATTGGTTTGGAGAATTGATTTGAGGAAACAAACCCTCTGATGTGCATGTTATATTAGTCCTCAAGAAGTAATGGAATCCAAACCAAAGATTATCACTCATTATTGAGGCACTGCCTAAAAATTTTTATTTAGATTTTTCCTGAACGTAGGCCACCTAGCTTTAGTCTTAACAGTGAAAGGAAATTTTTTTTTCCAGTAGAGATATCCAGAGAAATTGTCTGTTCTTTTGATATTAAATGAGCTTTAACATACTATTTTTAAAATTTGCCAGTATTCCCCTCAAGTGTGGCCTATAACCAGCTGCCAATCCATGAACAAACTGTTGGTTACTACTATGGGGTGAGAGGTAAATAACTGTCCCTAGAGTATAAATAAACCGCATCACTACCCACACTGTTAGTTCAGGTGATAACTTTTTTTTGTAGCAAGACTTTCTTGTTGAAAGAAGTGGCATGTTAATTTAGATTCTGGCATGAGCTTCTTTATCTCATCAGGGATCAGCCCTTTGAGTAGTACTCTGGTAAACAGCCATTAAGCAGGTATGTAGTTGTCAGTGTTTTGTATGCTGGGATGTTTTTTCAGGTGAAATTTGTAGTTGTCATTCAACTCTGGTCTTCACAGGACTTTTCCAAGTTGGTACGTTTCTATTTTGGTGCAGTAGGCAAGTAGTAAGGAGGGTTCTTAAGCACCCTTAAGTTTGGGGTAAAATACTTTGCAGTGTTGAGTTCCGCTTGCCTTAAGTTAGTTAAACTTACAAAGAGGTGTTAATGTTTCTGTAGCTTACTTTTCCCAGTAGCCCAGCTCAGAGTATGAATGGACAGCTGTTAACCAGCAGGCTTGCTTTTAGTTTATAGGACAAGTACTAAGTAAGAGCTTATATCCCCATTAATTTATGCTTATAAGGACAGTTATGCTTCACGGCTTTAGAAATCTAAGGAGTAAGTAGGTGAGTTGGTTCATTCACCCATTTTGCAGGGGAAGAATCTAAAGCTCAGGCATTTGTTTGCTTAAGGTTGTGATGTAAGTCAGTAAGTTGTAAAGCCCAGGGTCCATTGCCTGGGGTTCCATCTCAAATTCTCAGGCTTATTCCTGGCTGATAGATATTTCACGGAAGTTGGGGGGACATGGGTAAGTGTGTGCACCTCCAATGGCCTGTGTGACTGCATCAGAAGGGTCTCCTTTTCAAAGAGCTTTCTTTTAACAGTTACTCTCAGAAGGCAGCAAGGCCCACCTAGATGGACATTCACTCAGCTATTGATTTTTGAAAACTGTCAAATCAAGTGGGGTTGCATTCCTCCGTTATTGATGGACAGCCTCAGTGGAAAAAGAGTTTGATATGATTGTTCTCTTGTTAGTACATAAAAATAAATTCTCATCCTCTATAAGGCCAGCAGCTAACTCAGAGTTACAAATATCCCTTGCACTATTGTCCTAAGGACATATCACCATACTCAGCCATTTTGCTGCTATAGGAAAAAAAAATTACATAGCAAGTGGTTTTTATTTTTGTTACCTTGTTTAATCACAATCAGAAGAATCTCTCAAAGAGTTCATTTTTCTGTTCTCTCTAGTCCTGCATTGACATCTGGAATATTTAGTTTCTGTGTTTGTTTTTTGACAGGGAAAGCTTATTTTACGGCTCTGGATACTAAAACAAGAGTTTCCCTATTTGGTTCTAACACAGGATACCCTATAAATAGAAATGAAAATTTCTTGCTATGGAAACAATCAAAGCTAATACAGCAACTGCCCTCAGTTTGACTGATGATAGAGTTACCCTCTGAACTATATACTTCGGTCAGCTTTAAATGAATGTGGAGACGGTTGGGAAGTAGGGTGACAGTTCAGGAATGTTTTGGGAGTCACGCATGAGGGGACTCAAAACATGGATTTTGGGAGGAGATGGGAGAAATGACTAAATGTTTTCCGCATCTCCTGTACAGCAGCCAGTAACTCGGGAAGTTGAGATTCTAGTTTTGTTTTGGCTTTTTTTGAGTAATGAAAAGGTATCTTAACCAAATTCTTGCAATGCTGTAACATTCTGCATCACAATGAGATGGTTAGAGTTGTTTCCAAGTGAGATCCAAAGACTCAGAAACAACTTGGAAACACAGATACTTATTTTCTTGAATGGCTCAACTGTTAAAAGGAAGAAAGACAGCACTTGAAAGGTAGCAGGTGCCAGGTCTTTTACAAAGACCATTAACTGGATGTACTCAGTACCTATCATAAGGTAGCCAGTTTTCACTTGTATTCACAGAGAGTGGTGCTTAGGGTATTGTACTTTCGACACGGGCCTGTTGGCCTTTCCAGTTTTCATCTTCCTTTGTGGAAACATCTTTGGTATCTTTAAGGCATTCTTTGAAATCATGGCTGCTTTTTTATAAGTGTAAAAAATTGCCTGCCTTCTTTTATGTTCTTGAAGTTGCAAAATAGGTATTTTCCCCTCAAATATATTTATAATACTAACTTTGCTTTTCCAAACTGAATTTATTCACTTAACAGGAATTTATTGAGTACCTCTACTTATGCTAGAATTGCTAATGTACCCCTTTGACACTTGTGTACCTTCTCCACAGAGCCTAGTCACTGTTTTAGAGAAGTCTAGTATTTACATTATCTTAAAAATTCCCTGTGAGTTTAAAGGTAACAGCCTTCGTTTATAGAACCACATTGAATATTATTTGGCTTGAGGATATGCTGCTTGTCCTTAGTCTCCTTTTAGGGATGATAGCTACATCTTTTCTTTACCTATTTGGGAATCTAAATTAGAGACTGCTCAGATATAAATGTCTTATTCCAGGTGTTACCAAAGAAACTAATCTTAATCTTTGGTTTTATCATAATCCTAAAAGTGCATGGGGTTGGAAGAGGTGAAGATCAACCGTGGCCTCTGCTGGCGGGATTTGGCCATTACAGCTTTTTGCAGTGTGTTGCTCTTCTTGAGGATTTTTGTGGCTAAATCTCTGAACTTTCTGTACCCAGAACCTGGCGGCAGTTAACTCCATTCTGCTCTGCTCCTTAAGAACTTAACACAGACTAGAAGTGGGATAATGTGTTTGAAGGCCTAAAGAGTTTGTGATGGTTGAATGCAACCAGAGGTAGAACTAAGGAGAGCTGTTCTTTCTTTGAGATGACTTCTTGCAGAATCAGGGATCCTGTCAAGAAAGTTGCTTGTCTCTCCCTAAAGTTATTCTGCACGGCCTAGCTGCGTAGGCTGCCCCTCCCTCAGCCATGTTCAAGAACGTTCCAGATAATCTACAGGACCAAAACAGTCAGGATCGTACCCACTTAGAGCAGTGAGACTCACCAAATTTTCTTAGTCTTGAAGGAACTATCTGGAGCCTTTAATAGGGAAATAAATGGTTTTGAAAAGTATCAAATGATACGACTTTAAATGATCTATTTCAAATTATATCCTTTTTAATTCTTCACTAGAAAACTATCAAAGGTCCTTTCCAAAAAAACTGCTTGCTGCTTAGTTTGCTGTAACATGCTCTTGCTGAGTTGTGATATACAAGTCCATGGAACATGGTGCTTAACCCTTTGTAATCATTTGCTGAGTTCTTTCTCAAGATGAAATTTAAGAACCTGGAATAGAATGGTCAGGTAAAACTAAAATTATTGCATCTTGTGTTTTAGAGATTGCCAATATTTCAACTCCTTTCCATAATTTGTGGTTCTCGCCAAGAGAAAAGAAATGACCCAAAACAGGTAGTTAGGGGGTGCTTAAAAGGTTGTTATTTGCACAAATTGTTTTCATTGTCTGAGTATGTCATAGTGCATATCTAACTAGCTTAATTTTAGAAACAGATTCGAAATTTAAATATTTAAATAACACGTTTTGGTTTTTGCCCAATTAGGACTGATTATTGGACAAGTATTTCATTTACTGTTTTCCAAATGTTAAATTTCAGAGTAGAATTTTAAAGTTAATGGGGGAAAAATTAAAATTTCAAAGCTATCCCTGGTCTCACTGGCAACATTCCTATATCATTGTGTAGGCAGGAAATGGGTGGGGCCTGACTGCGGACTGTTTCTTTCGGTCTCCTGGAGTTAGAGTGGTGTGCCGGAGATGCAGGAGGTGCAGTCCTGTCGTCCTGACGCCAGCCACACCTGGCAGTGACCTTTTGGTTTGGTGGTTGTTTGTTTGTTGTTGTTCTTGTTACTGGTCTGTGTTTTTTTTCTTTCTTTCTTTCATTAAGTTTGCTTTATTCCTCACTGCTTTCTGATACCATCTCCCTTTACCACCTTCTTCCCCAAACTGCCTTTCTTTTGCCCATTTCTCTGCCTTGACTTTTCTGTTTTGGTTTCTGTACAATCTGTCCCTTATTTCTTTGGTGGTTGCAGCTTCGGAGCTAATAGAGTGCTTCTGTCATGCTGTGTGTTTAAAGCCTTGATTGTACTGCTGTCATATAAAACTGAACTTGATGTGGCTGTTGGGCTGTTATTTACAGTTTATTTCTCTCTCTGCTGCACTGGTTAAAAGGACACTGTCAAGGTATTTTTTTTTATAATTTTTCAAATCATTTTCCTCACTGTTTACAATAACCCATTAAAACCTTGAAACAAATCTTTCCCTTCCAAAGGTCCTCTCCATCATACATTCACATACTGGTTTGTTGTAGATTTGCACCTATATGTTGGGCTGGTGCCATTTGAGTTTTTGTCATTGAAAGAGCATGTAAAAAGTCAGGTTTTTTTGTGGAGGGTGTGGGTGGACTAAAGGGGAGAGTGTAATGAATCAAGTGGGCAGCTCAGCAAACACAAGGAAGAAACAAAAGGTCAAATTTGGTCCCCGTAACCTTGACAGTGTCCCTTTAAATATTTCTCTGCCACACACCCTGGACCCCAGTTACTGAGCCTGTGTATTTTTCACTATGAACTTTCCTATGTGACCGTCACCCTAGCTGCAAAGATTAAAGCTTGTTTGAAGCAAGCATCCAGTTGACACTGGAAGAGCTTTAATCTGTACCATTTGCACTCTTGTATATTGGCACGTTCTGCTCTATTGTAGAGGCATATGTGATTTGGTCCCTCTTGCTGCTATAGCACACCCTTGCTGGGCATTTTAGAAGCCACATATTAGAAATACCACTTTTTTGTGCTTCAGGAAAAGTAGTAATGCACATTGCATCTATGATCCATTAAGATCTCATAACTGTAGCCTTGGCCGGGTAGCTCAGTTGGTTGGAACATCATCCTGTACATCAAAAGGCTGTGTGTTTGATCCCCAGTCAGGGCATGCCCAGGAAGCAACCTATCAATGTTTCTCACTTCAATGTTCCTCTCTTTCTCCCCACTTCCTCCTTCTCTCAAAAAAAAAAAAATCAAACGTATCCTCGGGTGAGAGTTTTTTAATTACAGATTTCATAACTGTAGATATCAGTTGAGAATGTAATTGTTGCCTTTTTTAAAGGTACACCAAATTTAGAATTTCTAGAGCCAGCTTGTAGCATCATTGCAGGAATTACACCACGAAAAATTTCAGCATTGCTTTGAACATCATGACCATCACATTAATGAGGAAAAGTAACTGATGAGAAAGTAAGTGAAATTTCTGACAAGATGGTCTCTTTCATTAGCTCTGATAGCTGTGTAATCAGAACAAGTAGGGATGCCACCAAGAGCTCGTTTCTTTGGCCATGGAGTTGAATAGGAGGTCACATGTGTTTGCTCCCCTGAATCCTAGGCACTACCCTGATATATAAATAGCACCAAGTATCCAAAGCCCGGTTCTCTGCCTTATTTGTCAACATAAACCAGAAGATTCTCAGGGTTTTTATTTCTTAGCCTAAGGAGGATTCTCTAATTAATAAAGATTGCCTGATCTCTCGTATGTGTGGTCTTTTAGAACTTGATCTTTTAGAATACACTTTGGACTGAGTCAGTTATGGCATCCATCATATTTACAGTTTTAAAGGACAGTTGCAGTCCTTCCCTCTTTCTTTTTTTGATGTAGATTGTACTTCTTCCCGCATTCCTTTTGCCACCCCACAGTTCATACGGAGTTTACGTGTATGATTCATCAGTGAAAGGGCAGAGGCTTGCGCTTCAAAAGCATCTGTTTAATTGGGAAGGGCAAAACTAAGAGGAGGTAGTCTTACTGTGATGATCTTGTTCACAATCAGGTACCTCTGGTTGGAAAAGATCACTTCTCTGTGTCCTTCATGTTTATTAGAACTTTAATGTTTTGTTTTCTTGTTAACAGTTTTAGGTTGACTGTAAAGTGAAATTCGTATTTTAAATCTCATTTCCCAGTTGATGCCCAGCTTATTATGGCAAGACATGCCTGCAGTAGACGTGCTTCGACGTGCTTTTTCCTTCGCTCGCTGCTGCCGTGAATTACTTTGGGGCTGACTTCAGTAGTAGCGGAGGGATTTATGTCAGCGAACTGACAGTATCGATAGGCAGGGGCGCAGCAGGGATAGGAGCATGGTCTTGGCAGCTTGATGACCTGCTCTGCAATCTGTTCTCTTCCCCCATGATAGCGAGCAGGCCTGGTACCTCAGTCACTTGCCATCTGAGCTTTGGAAGTTCACCTCGGAACTTAACTGGTGCCTTAAAACATTATCACTCTGCAAATTAACAGCTTATTAATAGCCATGAATTTCACTTCTGTCTTTCCTGCTCCCATCTTAAATTTTGTCATCTTTGAGGGGAAGCAGATACTTCGGGCTTCTTGTTTGTCCATCTTGCCCTTTTTCTGGAAGGTCCTCAGGTGTGTTGACACAGTTTTTGTTCTCTGGGACTTTCCTAGCTACTATTTGCATGTCAGTCCAGCGTATCGCAGTGCATGTCAACTGCACGTGACCTCAGTTAGCATCAGTGTGAGCCCTGGGGCTGTTAACAGAGGTGGGGTCCCAGCTCTGAGTGCAGAACTGGGAGAATAGGAAGATAACAGTGCCAACAACATTTCATATCTCATTTAATGGAACTGACCACTTCATAGAAAAGAAAGTTTGAATCATTGTCCTCAAAGGTTTTCCCTTTGAGATACATGTTTTGACCTTTTAATATACAGCATTTGTGTTTTCATGGATGGTTATGTTTTTAGTCTTATAAGGACCAACTCTGCTATACTTCGGATTTTCAGGTTCCTAAAGAGAAAGATGAAATGGTAGAGCAAGAGTTTAACCGATTGCTAGAAGCTACATCTTACCTTAGTCATCAGCTAGACTTCAATGTCCTCAATAATAAGCCTGTGTCCCTTGGCCAGGCATTGGAAGTTGTCATTCAGTAAGTACTTTGACACTGCTTATTGTCTAGTGAATTTCATTTAGAGATTTACTATTTTTAAGTTTTCCATCAAGTCTCATTTGAGCTAATTTCCTCATAGGAAATAGTTAAATCTGAAAGTAAAACCATTTAAAATAATTATGTGGTACATAAGACCCCTCTCAATTCTGAAATTCACTTTTATGGCATTAAACTGTATTTAAGAGACTAGAAAATAATTTGCCACCAACTAACTTTCTTATTCCAAAGTACTAGAAATTTCAGTGGGCCTTGCTACTTTTAAATGTTTTTGATGGATACCAGCCTTATGTCACAAAGCTGGCCGGCCATGTGACCAGGGCATTCAGATTGTCTTTCTTAGGTTACAAGAAAAGCACGTCAAAGATGAGCAGATTGAACACTGGAAGAAGATAGTGAAAACTCAGGAGGAATTGAAAGAGCTTCTTAATAAGGTGAAATTCTGCTTATTTTCTTCATAGCTGAAGGTGCATCTGTAGAGGGGGGAAGCCTTCAAGGGTATCCAACCTTTTGGTGTCTCTAGGCCACACTGGGAGAATTGTCGTCTTGGGCCACACATTAAATACACAACCACTAACGAAAACTGATGAGCAAAAGAAAAAAGGTTTTAAGTAAATTTATAGTTTTGTGTTGGGCTGCACTCAGCCATCCTGGGCCATGGGTCTGACACCCCAGCTTAATTTAGAAATTTAAAAAGCACTGGGACTTACTACTCTTAAGAAAAATTGACTAGCCAAAGGCATTGTTTTAGCCCTGACTGGTGAGGCTCAGAGGGTTGGGTGTCATCCCACAAGCTGAAAGGTCACTGGTTCAATTCTTGGTCAGGGCATATGCCTGGGTTGCAGGCCAGGTTCCCAGGTGGGGGCGTGAGAGAGGCAACTGATTGATATTTCTCTCACACATCAATGTTTCTCTCCTTCTCTCTCTCTCACCTCTCTCTGCAAATAAAAATAAATTTTTTTTTAAAGGCACTGTTTATCTGTCAGTCTTCAATGTGGCATTATTGGTAAACTGTTGTCAGGTTACCTTTGGCTTGTACAAAGTTGACCCAGTGACCTCTGGTGAATTCTAGGATGAGAGGGAAATCATCTGTCCGGGGTCAAGCTCCCTCAGATAAGGACACCAGGCTATCAACCAGGACAATAAGTCATTGCCGTGATCATTTCACATGTGCAAAATAATGTTTTTCTGTTGAGGGCTCTTTACCACCACCCTTCAGACCCCTGGCACCAGACTAGGAAACTATTTGTTTCTCCTCACCCTGTCAGCTGCAAACGTAACACCAGCCCAGGGACAAAATATGAAGTGGAACAGCCCCTGTCGGGGTTGTCATGCAAAATTTGGGTGCATCTTGTGACTGGACTCTTGCCTCACTCCTGTGCTTCATGTCTTCATCTTCTCAAGTGAAGAGGTGTCTAGCACTCCTTCACCATGACCGTGGTACAGATGAAGTGGAAAGAGTGACTAGGGAATGGCGAGATGGCGGTGGGCTCGCTGTCTCAAGCTTAACCGTCACCTAGTCCCCTGTGGTTCCACCAGAAACCTGACCCGCTAACCTTGGGAATAGCTCCTTAGGTGCTTTGTGTGATGACTTGACCTTATATATATTTAAAAAGAAAAAAATCATGGTAGTTTGTTTTCCCTGGAAATTAATTTGTGCGTGTGTATATAATTTTTTTTTTAAATTAATGGGATACCTCTAGTTCTCCCATTTGTTTTGGAAGACAGAACCAATCTTTCTTATCTGCCAGTGTTGTGATATCTCTGTATTAAGCCATATAGGGTTTTTTTCCTATTTTAAAATGTCATGATATAGAAGAGGTATTTAAGAATTCCAAAGACCTGTTTTGGTACAATATAATAGCAGTTTAGAGGAGGAGCCAAAGTATATGATTTGGAGATGAATTATATCACTATCTGGAATGGTAAACCTGTATTTTTACCTTGTAGATGGTAAATTTGAAAGAGAAAATTAAAGAACTCCATCAGCAATACAAAGAAGCATCTGAAGTCAAGCCACCCAGAGATATCACTGCTGAATTCTTAGTGAAAAGCAAACACAGGGATTTGACTGCCCTGTGCAAGGTGTGGTATGCATGCCTCCATGCCTAGCTGGTTTTACTGGGAATCCCAAGAAATAGGATAGATCTGAGAGACTTTGGAAAAGAGAGAGCGATTAGCCAATCACAGGTGCCTGTATAGTAAGAAGAGGGTTTGATACACAGGAGCCATGGGGATTTAATGTGTCAGTTTGGTTTGAGGTCTATTTTTTCTACAGAGTTCCTACTTTGTTTTTATAATCTCAACCTTTAGCTTACATCTCATTTTAGCCTTTGGTATAATTTATCGCTGACAGTTTAGAATAATAATATGAACAAGGATTTGTCATTTGGAGTCGCATTATCTGGTTGAAATCCGTACCTTTGTATCTCCTAGCCATGTAACTTTGGGCTCCCTAATCACCTCGTGGTGACATGGTATAAATACTAACTCACTCATAGGTATCTAAAGAGCTTATTCCATGCTGGAGACATGTAAATGCATAGGAAGTGGTCATTGGTATCCCCCTACCCCAGTCTTCATTCCGGCCTCACAGTATAGCCTGTCTCCAAGAACAGTCATCCCTGAGCCCTGACCCAGCCTTAGGCAGATATGACTTGGGCAGGGATGTGGGCCAGACCTTACATTTTGTGGTATAAATAACTGGGTGGGTCTCTGACATATCCAGATAACTGGTTCTCTTAATTTTATCAGGAATATGATGAATTAGCTGAAACACAAGGAAAGCTAGAAGAAAAACTTCAAGAATTGGAAGCCAACCCACCAAGGTAGGAAAAACAGATATCAGAGGGCTAGCTTTTACTGTTCTTTCTATTATAGAGGGAAAATTATAAAGAACCATGGTTTTATCTGTGGTCACTGAATGGATTGCAAATTGTTTATGAGTGGAAGAAATTTTTGCATGTGGGCTACAGTTTACCCTTGAACAACGCAGGTTTGAACTGCTCAAGTCCACTTATATGTGGATTTTTGCAGTAAATATATTGGAAAATTTTTTTGGAGATTTCAACAATTTGAAAAAACTTGCAGACAACTGCGGAGCCTAGAAATCTGGAAAAAAAATTAAGAAAAAGATACGTCATGAGTGCATAAAATATATGTACATATTTCCTGATAATTTTCTTCTCTCTAGCTTACTTTTTGTATGAATACAGTATAAAATACACATAACATGCAAATATGTGTTAATTGTTCATTTTATTGGCAATGCACCCTGTCAACAGTGGGGTAATGATAGTTAAGTTTTGGGATTGTCAAAAGCTACCCCAGGTATTTGGGGGAGGGCAGTGTTGATGTCCTTTCCCCTGAATTGTTCAGTGGTCACGTGTGCTTTTCAGGTTCCTAAATCCTCTCCTAGTCTATGTTTCAATGTGGAAGAATGTCCTAAATACTTCAGTATATTGTTTTTAAGGGAGCATTTCTCCATCAAGTCAGATATTTTAATAAAAGTGTAGTAAATGAAAATTGTCTTCTCTGAGTGGCCTAGAAGGTGCTAATTGCTTCAAATTCCCATAATTCTGGGGAGTAGGAAAGTATGACTCTTACTTCCATTGGGTTTTTGACAGTGAATAGTTAACATGCTGATACTGTGCTCCATATTGCATCTGGCCTCCACATACATCTACTCTGTTTTATAGTCAGGAGTGCTACCCATTCTTGCCAAAAAGTCCATGCTTTCTTTAAAATATAAAATAAAAATTTTTACTGTGAATGTTTTTATAATGCAAACTAACCATATAAAAATTTTTCTTTTTTTTCAAATGAGGCATGATTGTAATTTGCTTTATAATAGTGAATTTGGCACTGCTCTAGGCACAAGACTAATGGGGTTAATAAGACAGATGAGATTCAACTTTTTGGCACAGTCCCAGATTTCAGTGGCCATACACTTTCTGATATCATCCACATCAGCCCATTGAACATCATAGTAAATAGCCCTGTAATAACCTTGTGCCCCTTTGTTCTCATTTTGCAGTGATGTGTATCTCTCGTCAAGAGACAGACAAATACTTGATTGGCATTTTGCAAATCTTGAGTTTGCTAATGCCACACCTCTTTCTACACTCTCCCTTAAACATTGGGATCAGGTAAAATTCCTTGATCATTTATTTGTTGTATGCCTTTGAGAGGGCTCTCAAGAGAAACTTAATTTGCCTATGTGCTTTTCAACAGCTTTATGAAGAGAGATAATTTACATACAATAAAATTTACCCATTTTAAGTGAACAGTTTAGTTTTGCCAAACTATATAGTCATGAACCATCACCACAGTCAAGAATCAACATTTTCACCATCCTCAAATTTCCTTCTTGCCCTTTTGAGATTCATCATTGTTGTGTGTATCGGTATTTTGTTCCTTTTTATTGTTTAGTAGTAGTCCATTGTATGGCTATGTCACAGATGGGCCTTTTCACTGGTACATATGGGTCGTTTCCATTTTTGGCTATAAATAATTGAAGCTTGTATGAACATAAACCTGGTTCATGTCTTTCTCTTGGATAAATGTCTAGGAGTCAATTGCTGAATCTTATGAGAAGTAGATTTTTATAAAGCTTTACAGGAAACTTCTAAACTGTTTTCCAAATTGCATTCCCCTCCACGAGCAATGTGTGGAAGTTTCAGCTGCTCCACATCCTCATCAACACTTACTGCTGCCAGTTTTTTAAAATTTTAGCCATTCTGATATTTCATTGTGGTTCTCATTTGCATTTCCCTGATGACTTTATGTAAAGCATCTTCTCGTGCACTAATTGGCCATTCGTATGTCAGTTCTTTGAAGAAAAGTCTATTCAGATCTTTTGCCCATTTAAAAAATCGGGTGGTTTGTCCTCCTGTTAAACTGTGAGAGTTCATTATGTTCTTTAAATTCTGAATACATTTGTCAGATTTATGTTTTGCAAATATTTTCTACCAGTCTACAGCTTGCCTTTTTTATTTTCTAAATGGCATCTTGCAAAGAGCAAAAATTTTCAGTTTTATAAAGTCCTATTATATTAACTTTCAGGCTTTGTGTTTTTTTGTAAAATCCTGAATTTTTATTTATTTTGGGGGGGGGAGTCTAAACAGAGGTTGCAAAGATTTTCTCCAGTTTTCTTCATGAAGCTTTAGGGACTCTGCTCTTATGTTAGGTCTGTGATCCATTTTGAGTTAATTTTTGTGTATAATTAGAGGTGAGGTTAGGATTCATATTGTCCTACATGGTTATCTAATTATTCCAGCGCAGTCCTTTTTCTTCATTTGTCTTGGCACCTTTGCTGAAAATCAGTGATGTGTGTGTCTGTTTATGGTTACTTTTTTCTGTTTATCTGTCTATCCATATTCCACTATAACACTGTCTTGATTATTGTTGCTCTATAATATGTCTTGAAATAAGGTAATGTAAGTTCTCCAACTTTATTCTTTTTAAAAATTGGTTTGGCTATTTTTGGTCTTCTGTATTTTCATAAAAATTTTAAAATTGGTTTATCAATTTCTATTAAAAAAATAACTTCTGAGATTTTGATTGGGATTGCTTTGAATCTATAGATCAATTTAGGGTGATAGTTATCTTCATATTGTCTTCTAACTCTTGAATGTGATATTATCTTTTGTCACATTATTAAGGGTGATTTGCTCTTGAATTGGTGAGAGGTCATAGGGCTTCTTAGATAATTGAATGAACCAATCTCTAAATCTCAGACTTTGACCAGACTTAAGACTGACTGTATAGAAGTAAATATTATATTTTTTAATTTATAAATATGTTTATTCTATTACAGTTGTCTCAGTTTTTACCCCTTTACCCCCCTCCTCCCATCCTATCCCCACCCCCCACTCCCACAGTTAATTCCCACTCTGTTGTCCATGTCCATGGGTCATTCATTCATGTTCCTTGTCTAGTCCCTTCCCCTTCTTTCTACCATTGTCCTCTTTCCCCATCTCCTCTGGTCACTTTCAGTCTGCTCCACGTTTCCGTGTTTGTGGGGTTTTTTTGTTCATTAGTTTATTTTGTTGAATAGAGTCCACTTACAGGTGAGATCATATGGTGTTTGTCTTTCATCAACTGGCTTATTTCACTTAGCGTAATATTCTCCAGTTCCATCCATGTTGTCGCAAAAGGTAGGAGTTCCATCTCTCTTTCTTTCTTTCTTAAATGCAGATTGATTTTATTTTTTTAGATGTCAAAGTTAATTATAAAATATTAAAAAAATTTAAAACCATTATAAAGTCTCAGCAATTAAACCAACATGACATCAGCACAGAAATAATCAAGTAGATCTATGAAATAGAACAAGCATTCTAAAGACAAACATATATATCTAACAATATAGTATATGATTAAGTTGTTATTTCAAATCAATGGGTAAAATAAGACTTATTCAACAAATAAGGTGCATGGACCACTATTACTTGAAATAAAACAAATATAGAGCCCTATTTCACACATTATACAAGAAATATTCAGGTGAGTTAAAAATCAATATGTAGAATCTAAGGAGTTTTAGAAGAAAATAGAACTAATATTTTTCATGACCTGAAGTAAAATATTCAAACCCAGGAGTTATAAAATAAATATTGACAATATGACTATATTAAACATTTAACTATATAGTAATATACATATAAAAAAGTTAAAGGACAAGGGATAGAATAGAAAAGTATTTGCAACACATCTAAAACATGGTTAATAGGTTGGGTTTTTTTTTTGTTTTTTTTTGTTTTTTTTAGGGAAAACAGTTCTACAAACCTTTAATCAATAAATGGACAAAGAATACCAAAAAGTCATTTAAAGCTTTTTTTTTTAAATAATAGAAATAGGCAAGAAATATACTAAAACAGGTTTGGTTTCAACAAATAGTAAAGGAACAATTAAAATAACATCATTGTCACAATCAGATTAATGAGTATGAAAAATATTGGTTATATCAAGTATTGGCCACTCTGAAAGGGACTGGATATTCATAGAAACTTTTTCTTCATCTTAAAGCAATCCCTTTAGCATATTTTGCAGTGCTGGTTTGGTGGAGGTGTAGTCTTTTAGCTTTCTTTTGTCTGGGAAACTCCTTTTTCCGTCTTCCATTTTAATTGAGAGCCTTGCTGGGTAGAGCAGTCTTGGTTGCAGGCCTTTGCTTTTCATGACTTGGAATGTTTCTTGCCATTCCCTTCTGGCTTTTGGTGTTTCTGTTGAGAAGTCAACTGCTAGCCACAGTGGAGCTCCTTTACATGTTACTACCTCTTTCTCCTTGCTTACTTGCTTTAGGATTCTGTTTGTCTTTGATATTTGCCATTTTAATTATGATGTATCTGGGCCTCACTGGGTTCCTCTTGAATGGGACCCTCTGTGCTTCCTGGACTTGTGTGACTTTTTCTCTCCTCCAATTAGGGAAGTTTTCCATCATGACTTTTTCAAACAGGTTTTCTATCCCTTCCTCATCCTCTTCTCCTTCTGGTATCCCTATTATGTGGATATTATTATGTTTCAGGTTGTCCTGCATTTCCTTAAATGCCTCTTCATTCTTTTCGAGTCATTTTTCATTTTCTTGCTCTTTCTGGGAGCTTTCTTCTACCTTATCCTCCAGCTTGCGATTTGGTCCTCAGCTTCATCGAGCCTGCTTTTGATACCTTCTACTGTGTTCTTCAATTCAGAAATTGTATTCTTCATTTCCTCTTGTCTCTTATGTCCTATGTCCTTTTCTATGTCCTTTTTTATGCTGATATAGTTTGCAGTAAGTTCCTCATAGTTTCCCTGTAGTTTTTGGTAATTCTCTCTGAGCTCACTGAGCTCATTGAGCTTCCTTAGAACCATTGTTTGGAACTCAATATCTGATAGTTTACTTGCCTCTATTTCATTTAGTTCTCTTTCTGGGGATTCCTCCTTTCCCTTCGAGTGGGGCGTATTTCTTTGTCTTGCCATTATTTGTGAGACTCTTCTCTTTTGCTTCTGATTGTTAAGTTGATCTGTCTTGATCAACTTGTTGTTCTCACACATTGATGTTTCTCTCCCCCTCTTTTTCTCCCTTCCTTCCCCTCTCTCTGAAAATAAATAAAATCTTTTTTAAAAAATCATTTGGGCAATTCTTTCAGGCCAAATCTTGACTTTTTTACTATATTAACTATCATGGGCCAATCTTTATAATCCTAGATTGTCTTCCCTACTTGAACTGACTTTAGTTTTGGAGTTTTCCTCAACTTTAAAACCTGAAAATTTAAGGAATAAAAACTGATTTTGCTCTTAGGTAAAAGGAAATGTAATAAAAACTGATTTTGCTCTTAGGTAAAAGAAAATGTAATCAGGATAATGATTTGGATATCCTACCAAGTCTGTAATGCATTAAAAAATCAAACAAAAAAAATAGATAACTAATTGTATGAATTTACTGAATCAGCTCCCTTCCCTCTCCCACCCTCCATGAATAGTCTGGGATTGGTGGTAAAAACTCTTAAGGGGAAAAAAAATAACCGCCCTAACTTCACTGCCCAAAGACAGCTGTTGTAGACATTTGACATTATTTTTCTTTTCCCTTCAGTATCCTGTGGCAGCTGAGGCTGAATACAAAGTTATTTTTCTTTAATTTCTGCCTTAGCATATTTACAGTTTCCACGAACTGGTGTTTTTAGCATATTTTACAGAACTTAGTATAAATGGCGTAAATTGGACTAAGAAAATGTGAAAATAGATCCCTTTCTCTCCTGTTTAGGATGATGACTTTGAGTTTACTGGCAGCCACCTGACAGTGAGGAATGGCTACTCATGTGTCCCTGTGGCTTTAGCAGAAGGCCTGGATATTAAGTTGAACACAGCAGTTCGGCAGGTTCGCTATACAGCTTCAGGTATGTCACTGCTTTGCGGATGAGATCAGTCTTTCACTCCGAAACACAGTACTGATCTTATTATTGAGTTTGACCTATAGAAAAAGTATTAGGTCATTTCCTGATAGAATGTCTTATAAACTGTGACTCCAAATTTAAAAATTTGCATTTACAAAAAGATTGAGCCCATAGAGTATTTGGAAATTCCAGCCCCATCACCGTATAAACCAGAAAAGGGGGCGGGGGGTTAATTTCCAAATTGTGCATGAATTAGTTGGTATTATAGTAACAGCCAGTGACTTTGGCTCTAATTTTCCTAAGTATTTTCTTAAATACCGGAATTTGGACCTGTAAGTTTCCAGTGGATCTACCCCTGTATTTCACCATCTTGCATCTTGGTCTTTGGATCCATTCTAGCTTTTCCTGTTCAGATGGACTAACAGCTCAGGCTACTTCCTAGACCTGGGAGCAGTCCTGCTGATGAGATTGCCCGATTCCTGTGGCAGTAGGCTCAGTACTCATCATTGCTGGTTTCAAGCATGTTTAATATGGAGTACAGAGAACCTGTCGTCCCACCCACCTTTGGAATTAATAATCTTAGACTTATGGTAACTAGTCACCCCTCTCTCTGAAGACCCTCATGATAAATGGAGATGTGTTCAGCAATCTTGCCCTCCATGGTCCCTTTCCTAGAGTTTCCAAGATTACCACAAATACTTTTTTTTAAAACCACTGAATCACTTTTCCATTCAAATTTTCCCTTCAGAGGTAGTTTTTAACTGATGGTGTGGAGAAGATCTACAGCCTTGACCTAGCCATTGGCCTGCTGGTGAAGAACAGCGAGAATAGCTTTTGTGTCCTTTTCTCTAGTTCTGTGACCACAGAAAATGAACGTGTACTGAGGTGTCATACTTTCCTAAATTATTTAGGTACATAAATAGGCACTCACTGAAGGGAAAAATCAAGCAGAAAGGAGGATAAATAACATTAACTACTTTCAGTGCCTTTTCTGTGGTCAACTTTGATCTCATTCATGTTCTGACAAGCTAAGCATCACAGTGTATTCTTAGGTTTGTACTGCAGGCTTCTGGTATCATTTTCTCTTGGTCCTTTAGTGAGCAAGCATCTACCCACAATGGAAGAGGTATTGGTTCTATCAGGACAGACATTTTCCTTGGAATTTTGGTCTAAATTTACTTAACTTTGAGTAAATAATCAGGCCCTTTTATTAGTCCAGAAGATCACAGTGTACCAGGAAGGTAAGATAGTACATTGGTGACAATCAAGGACTGACGTCGACTCTTAGGGTGTGAATCCTGGCACTTACTACCTTTGTTATTTCATTTCTACCTCAGTTTTCTTCTATGAAAAAATGGATAGAACTGACCTCATAGACGTATGCGAAGAATTAACTGGGAGAGCATACAGAGCCTGCTGTGCAGTGGATAATCAGTGCCCTTATCAGTACCATTCTCATCACCAATAAAGCCTTTTTCCTCAAACCCCTTTAGGATGTGAAGTAATAGCTGTGAATACCCGCTCCACAAGCCAGACGTTTATTTATAAATGTGATGCCGTTCTCTGTACCCTCCCCTTGGGTGTGTTGAAGCAGCAGCCGCCAGCTGTTCAGTTTGTGCCGCCTCTCCCTGAGTGGAAAACATCTGCAGTCCAAAGGATGGGATTTGGCAACCTTAACAAGGTAACCCGCCCTCATGCCCACTCTACAAATACCAGTCTGCCTGCCTCCCCTCAGACAGAAGGGTTTGCATTTTCGTACATTTTTCTGTGCACTCAACTTTGATATAAGGTGAGGCCTGGCCGCTCTTTGACTTCATTACCTAATTATTCATAAAGTATTCATGAGAACTGAGTGTTCTGGGGTCACTTTACAAATCTAAGCCTATAAAAAGATAGCTCTAAATGTCATCCTAAGTAATACATTTATAATAGGGATTTCGAGGCTTATGTCAAGAGTAGATTAGAAGAAATTTAAGTAAGGTCTGAAGAAGCAGCACTTCTATTGAGGCACAGCTGTGCTTAAAGCCATATTCTTGGAGTCCTTTCACTAGCTCTTGTGCTCTTTTTTTACGCTAGGTGGTGTTGTGTTTTGACCGCGTGTTCTGGGATCCGAGTGTCAATTTGTTCGGTCATGTTGGCAGTACTACTGCCAGCAGGGGTGAGCTCTTCCTCTTCTGGAACCTCTATAAAGGTAACTGCTTTCTAGTTGTAATCTTTCTCGTATCTTACAGGAATAGAGAATTAGGAATATTCTGGGTTTTTCTCAAACAGATAAATGTCTTGGGATATATATATATCCCTTACAGGTGATGGGGATATGCAGAGGGGAAGGGAAACCTGCCTTCAAGGAGCCCACAACTAACTTGGAATATATAGTCTAGTTCATAGCTTTTATACCCCCAGCATCTGGTACTGCGCCTGTCACATAAGGCTGCTGCATAAGTATTTACCAAATAGGTAAGTCAAGGTGGTAATGGGCTTGGAGGGGCCTGAGATAGCTAAAAGGGAAACCCTTGTCACAGAGCTGTCTACAGTGGTCAGGGCTGAGTTTTGTTAACAAGGTGTGAAGTTATATCTTCTGGACTTCTATATTCTGCAGTTATAAGCAGTGAAGTACATGAGTCACACTTCACTCACTATAGTTTGCCAGCTCCCTTCTGTGGATGGATTTCAAGTTGCTGTTCCAGAAACAGCTTGTCTCCAGTATGCGTGGTGCATGGTCTAGCTATTGGTCATCAGATTTCAGAGCGCCAAGAATAATGTGGGGCCTGCTAAGGAGGTTCTTGATAGAAGTCTGCAGGAAAACCCTGGAATTGTCCTTTTTGTTTCCCTAGCTCCAATACTATTGGCACTAGTGGCGGGAGAAGCTGCTGGCATCATGGAAAACATAAGTGATGATGTGATTGTAGGCCGATGCCTGGCCATTCTCAAAGGGATTTTTGGTAGCAGTGCAGTGCCCCAGGTAAGTGGGTGAGGGCAAGCGGGAACCTGGGGTTTGGACTAAAGCAGGGTTTGACGTACTGTCTTAAGTTGCAGCACAGTACTTGGTCAGGACATTTTCAGCCAGAATTGAGAAGTGTGTATGGATTTACATGAATGCTAATGTTTGGAGTTCATGCTGTAAGTGTGGGATTCAGAGAGTTACTCGCTGCATTTGTCTGCTTGTCTGTTTTCTCTGCTTTTAGAATCATACCACCACCCCACTCCACCCCACCTTTCAGTGAAAGTGGCCAGACTCCTTCAGGGAAGTCTTAAGAGAATCTCTTGATACTTTTTTCTAATTTTTAGGCCTAGTGAAACACCCTTATGATTACTTTGAGAAGAGGCTTATTAATGCCTCATGTGAATTTGTAAAAGTGAATTTAAGTCAAGTCCTAGGTAGATCTCTGGATTCACAGACAAGAGTACAACGTGGAGGCTTCCTGGCATTCTGAAGGCATTTTGGGTTGCATATTTTAAAGCAGCAGCATTCGCCATTTGCCTAACTCTCATGTCTGTTGCCTCTTCAGCTCTCTCACTTGTATTCCCACTCATGATGGCTTTTCCATCTTTCAGAGGTTACTGATTTGTCTTTGGTGTCCAGTAGTAACTGCTGCTCACAATTTTTTCTTTAGCCTAAGGAAACTGTGGTGTCTCGCTGGCGTGCCGATCCCTGGGCCCGGGGCTCTTATTCCTATGTAGCTGCAGGATCATCTGGAAATGACTATGACTTAATGGCTCAGCCAATCACTCCCGGCCCCTCAATTCCAGGTGCCCCGCAGGTGAGAAACTAACAAACTATACCTGGGCTTATTTGGTAAGAGGCCACTCCCCCAGGATCTCAGGGTAAAAAATGCCACTGATTGTTTTAGATTTACTCATTCTGTCCTTGGACCCTTTCAGATAACCTACAGCAGAGGAAAAGAAAGAGGCAGTATCATCTGTATCAGATTTCTCACATTTTGGCTTTGTAAATCTAAGCAGTCTGTGTTCAAAATGTTAGAATCCAGGGTATAAACCAGTTAATTCTTTTTCCTTGTTCAGATATTGGTCCTTATAAAACAAACTTTTAACCCTCTCCCCACCCCCCAACCCCCATTTTGCAATGGCTAATAGGATTGTTGCAGGTCCCAATCACTAGTGGCCTCCAGGGCATGCCCCTGAGGAACCTTGGGCCCTTACCTAGAGTGGGCCTGGCCCACCTCAAAGAGTAGTAAATGTTCCTCAGGACCCTGTGGTAAGTAAGGCCTCCTCTGAGCTGTGGCAAAAGCTTTCAGAGTGAGAACACATGCTGTGTTCTCTGTGGTTCCCTGTAGTCAAGGACCTCCCCGCCCCAGTACTACATGAAGCAAAGAGTTAGAACTAGGTATCCCCCAGAGTTAAAGTTGTAAGAACAGATGCAGTGAAGCATCACTCTAGAATTAAGGCTGGGCTGAGTTTTATTCTCCCTTTCTACTTCTGTCAGTTCTAAGAAAATGCCTACTGATGAGAGAGGCCCTTTTTGGTAAAATGATGGAAAGGGTGGAAGGTAGGGGGAGGCAGCTTCAAAGGCCAAGAGGAATTTGGCCATTTGAACAGAAGAATAAAGGTATGTTTGCAACCTGCTGATTTCTTTTTTTCCCCCCTGAAATAGCCAGTTCCAAGACTCTTCTTTGCTGGAGAACATACAATCCGTAACTACCCAGCCACAGTCCATGGTGCTCTGCTGAGTGGGCTTCGAGAAGCAGGAAGGATTGCAGACCAGTTCTTGGGAGCCATGTACACGCTGCCTCGCCAGGCCACTCCAGGTGTCCCTGCACAGCAGTCCCCAAGCATATGAGACAGATGTATCCAAAGGGAAGAGGCCGATGTATGTGTCTTTTGCTGTGTAAGCAAAGTTCTAGCAATACTAGATTCCTGAGAAACTTGCCCTGACACCTGGGTTCCCGATCAACTGAAGTCCATAACGGCCAGGTGGCCAAGGAGAGGTTTCTCTGGTGTTGATGGCAGATGTTGCCTGCCTTGAGTGACTTAGGGCTAGAGAGGGAGGCACTTACCCATTCATGTGGAAATGTGTGTTCTTCATAAAGACTGAGGCAAACAAGCACTGAGAGAACATCTTAGTCCCATGGTGTGTGGTAGGGTGTTTTTTTTTTTAATATTATTTTGAGAATAAACTTCATATAAAATCAGTCGTATCTTTTTATCTTTTTTCATTTGCCCTATGGTTAGAGTTGTATACAAGATAGCAGTGTTACTCCTTTAGAGATGCCAGTTTTATCCATGTTTACATAAGGAGGGTGTCTATATAAAGGGGGGAAGTGGTTTGGTTGGATCAAAAGGTAGAGTTGAGCAGGTTCCTACAGAAGCAATGAGCTTCCTGGTCTGTGGGGCTAGACTTCCCTATTGGGATTGTGAGTTGGCCCTGTGCCAGAGGAGTGAAGCTGCAGGTCATCAAGCATACAGATGTTGGGACACTTTTTCTTGGATTCTCAGAATAAAACACAATAGTTTGCATGAGCCTGTCAGAACATTCTGGCTTTATTCTCCAGATTTCCTCCATGAGTATGTGCTAACTTTCTCCTGTCCAAATTTTGGCAAATTCTACAATAAGCAGGTGAAGGGTTTAGGTAATTTTGTTGGTATATGAATTTATTGCTGCTGCTGCTAACAAATTACCAGCAGGCTCTGAGGGAAGATTCTATTCCCTTGCCTTCTTCAGCTTCTAGTGGCTGTTTGTATCCTTGGCTTATGGCCCCTTCCTCCATCTTAAAAGCCCATCACTCCAAGCTCTTCTTCCATCATCCCCTTGTGTCCTGTAGATCCTCTTCTGTCTCCCTCTTACAAGGATACTTGTGATTTCATTTCAGGCTGAGATCTCCATTTCAAAATCCTTTATCACATCTGCAAAGTCCTTTTTGCCATATAAGGAAAAAACTTGCAGGGAACAGTATGCCTGTTGCTTCCCAAGGGATCTTAATGGACTAAATGCACATGTGTAATCTGCTTCTGGAAATCAGATTTTACTTGTATTAGTCACTTCTTCCCATAAAACCTCGCTTAGGGAAAGTGAGGTTTTATTTACATTGGTGGTCTAACTGGAGAGAGCTTTTCCCCCTAGTCTAGAAATGACAAGCAGTGGGGAAGTTTTGTACACCAAGATTAGTGCAAGTGTTGTAACTGACCTAACAATGGCAAGTATATGGACTTTGGAGCCCAGCTCTGCCATTAATATTGTTAGCTTGGGTCAGGGAAGGGGCGTTAAGGTGTTTGGTCAAGTGGTTAAGTGTTTTTAAAAATAGATGGCATAGGCAGCTTGAGAGACCATTGTTTTGTATGTGACAACAAAGCCTAAAAATAAAATGTTAAGTAAAATATATGCTATATGATTCTAACTCCAATTCAGTTTGGCTTCTAGGCATGTTCTTTACTAAGCCTCAGCTATGTTTCCAGTCCTTATAGCAGTAGCAGTTGGTTGAAAATTTTAACTAAATTACAGTGAAATACACTAGCTGTATCAGTGCATAGGAAAGTTGTATGCAGAGATGACATCCACAAAAATGGCATTACAGACTCACACTCAGAGCACATGGAAACTAGGGAGCTTTATTGGTTACATATTGTGCTGCAGAGCCAACAGACAGCATTAGAGCCAGAGGATACATGCAGACAGGCAGCTTCAACTATACACATGCACCCAAGGAGCCCTGAGTCACTGCTCATGGCTTTGCCCTGGTTTCCAGCAACAGAGTTCCGGCCTCCTTGGTCCCATGCCTGGAGCAGGAATGTAGAAGCTGCTGCACCTAGACTCCAAGGGGCAGGGGTGAGACCCGAGCACCTGCCTGAGCAAGTAAGTGTGGAACAACAGATACTGGTGCCCCTTAGCAAAAGGGGCCTATAATGTATTAAGTTTTTGAGGGCTACTTCCCCAGCCCTCCCAATCTTTAAAATACAAAAAAATAGACTTTATTCTCTTAAAAATACATTCCATTCAGTACATGTTCTGAGCCATGAAGCAGCAGGAAAATAGGGCCCCTTTCCTATGATCTTGGTTGTGAGGCTTTGAAGAGAACCCTGTTCCCCACTCGGGGTATTCAAAAGATAATCCCTAAAAGCAGCTCTTTCAAAGCAGTCTTGAACAATGACGTAAAACCACACCAACAAAGGCACCTAGAGACTGGACCAGAGGCTGGGTCCCTATGCCTTTACTGGGAAGTGGTAGCACTTGGCACTAACCCACTGAGTATATAAAGAACTAAAACTGCCCCAGGATGAGAAGTCCAAGATAAGTACAGACCCTCTCACACCCCATGAGAGAGGGATGATTTATGTGCAAGCTTGCCTGTGGCCAAGGTTAGAGTCCCTGGCCCCACTGTGAATCCCTTTAACCCACATTATCACTGTTTCATTGCCACTCAAAAGCAAAAACAGCCAAGGCTTCCTTTTGCCTACCACCCCTGCAGCTTTCCCGGGTTGTTTTTAGTACCAGAATGTAAGAGACAGGTGAAAGAGACCAACTCCTGGCATTTAGCCAGCTCTACTTCCTTGAACCAAGCAGCCCTGGAGTTGCCAGATTCCCTAACCTCACTAGGAACCCTCGCACAACCTACACCTGGCAGCAAAATTTTTCAGAGTTTGAGCCAAGCTGCAGAAAAGGCTTGACAAAAGTGGGTTTATTGGCTGGGACAGGGAATATTTGGCTTTATTAGATAACTATTCCACTACCAGGTCTCCCCTGTATTTGCATGTTTCTTCCAGGACCCCTGATGGTGAAGCCCAGGTCCAGTCTCACCTAGGTTGCTTTTCAGAAACGTGCCTTCCTACTTTGGAATTGGAGAGCCAGCCTTGTTAGTCACTTGAAGCCCAGGCTAACTGAGCCTCCAACCCTCACAGGCTATACAAATGGTATTTTCTGCAATGCTGAGGACATTTTTTTTTTTTAATCTATTTTACAGCGGTCCTAGAAGATATGCAGATGAAACTATTTATCCTGAAATAACTGTTATAATCAAACCCTATTGCACTCAGATTTTAGGATAGCAGCCCCAGCAAAAGGGCACCACAATGTCCCTCTTCTGCAGAGCATTATGGATAGTGGCAGAGGTTGATACTGCTGAAATGTAGAAAGTTCCAGACTTTGGCACCAGGAGCTACAGCACCAGAATCCAGGGCTCCAATGCCCAAAGATGAGAATTACTGGCGAGATCTTTGAAGGCATGGCTTGGCACCCTTCTGCTTCCACCAGTAGAGGAAAGCCAGACTTTTATGTTCTCAGCCGACCACCAAGAGGTTAGTCCCTCGGACTGTCAGGGTTGCCAACCAGTGAGCAATGGCAGGGAGGCTAAGTGAGAGGCTGCAGCCTTGAACAAGCTAGATTCTGGCCATTGACCCAGGAGAAGCAGTAGGAAGAGGTTTTAAAAACAGCATCTGAAGTTTGAACGTCTGAGGCAGCAATGTGAAGGAAAGGCAAGCCACATGACAATGCCCTTAGATTGGCAAAACTCCAGAAAATGGAAATACGAGCAAAACATTCCTGTCCTTGAAAGTAAGGTAGGTGCTCCCCAAGCCTCCATGACTGCCAAGTCTGATGCAGACAAGGGTGGGATGAACGCTGGTTCCCACGCTGAGTGGAGGCAGAGACAATGACTCAAGAAGCACAGGAACAGGAGACACACCAACTTGTATTATGGAAAGTGCAAGCCAGGAGACACTGTGTGGCAGTGGGCAAGGCATTGGTGCCAAAAAGGGCCGCAGAGACCATTTAATCTAACCCCTTCATTTTAGAGACTGAAAAAATGAGGCCAAGGGAGCTTCTCTAAGCTCAAACTCATGACAAAAAGGGCCCTTCAGAAAAGCAATCAAGGGCAGTGGGAAGGACACATTCTCCAAACCCATTTGGATGCCACCTTCCAAAAGCGGAATCACCTCCCCCTGCAGTAGGATAATGGAAACAAGAATCTTAGACTGCCATATTTAGGACCCTTAGAATTCATCCACTTCAAAGAACTTATTTTATAGATAGGGACACCGAGGCAAAGTACAACACCATGAAGAAAATCCAGCTTTCCTGACTCCCACTCCAATGTTCTTTCACTATGAAGGGGATCCCTTCCTTGAGAGAATGCTACAGAAAAAGTGTTAAGATTTCTTCTTTTTAACTCCCCCCCATGTGAATGGTATTAAGTAAACTAATCAATTTTTACTTCTGTGGCTTCCTGAAAAGTTTGCTGCATTTTCAATCATATGGATCTGGGGCCCTTGATGGGTATTTGTTACCTTTCCTCCCATGAAGTCGTGGTTTGCAGAGATCATGGGCCCACTTCTGTAGGAATGCATCAGCTTGGTAAAGTGCAATACCTCCTCCATGGGGGCCTGAGGAGGAACAAAGTCCATGCCTTTCATGGAACTATTGCTTTGTGGAGTAACTAAAGGGAAAGCGCTTCTTCCTGTCCACTTTCCCCTTTGCTGGGCGCTTCCTAGAAGGCAGAGTATGCTGGGTCAGGCCCAGTTTAGTCAGGTAATATTCCGAAGATGAAAACAAAGCATGAAGTCTCCAGCCACAGGAGAGGAGCAGGCAATGCCAGCAGCATTACTGGAAGGAGACGCGTGAGGTTTATGCACTTCCAGGTGCCTTCGGAAGGTGAGCTGAGAGCTGGGGTTGGGGGAGAGATGTCATTCCAATACGTGGGCGGGTACCCGTGTACTCTGCCCCCTGAAAACAGTTGTTAGCAAGGGGGCATGGTCAGCAAGGGGGCCGGGTCAGAGAAGCTTCAACTTGGTGTAGTCCCATAATCCTTCAGAGGCAGCACAGACATCTTCAGTAAGTCTGAGGAACTCCAAAGGGGAAAAGAATGGAAGCCCGGAATGGAACTGATGGCTGTGGTCAGTCTTAGTGTAGGTACTTAGGCCCCTAGGGCAGACAAGGAGCAAACTGGATGTGGTGAGGAGACAGAAATCAGAACATTAACCACACGGAAGGGACTACTGTTGTGTGGTGGGGATATAAGGAGTTTCTATCATTCCCTAATTTGGGGGCCAGAGTGGCCCATTCTACCTGGGGGACAGTACAGGGACAAGGAGAGAGGTCTCATGCATCAATCAGGGAAGCCTGGGCCTGAGTGACTGTCCAGCTTGTAGTTTCTGATCCCCTCTGGCCAACTGGCAGAAATGACCTGAGCCACAGCCTGGCTCTCTACCACAGTCTCCCAGCCAAGGCCTGGGATCCTTCATAGGAAGGGAAGGTGGAAGAGCTGAGAAGCAGGAGCAGAGGAGAAGACAGGCCTCGCCCAACTGGCTCAGTTTTCCTCAGCACAGGGCCTGGTTGGCCGTAACCGTTCCTCGGCCTGTACTTGCCCAGGCTCTGACAGCCCCTGCTTCACAGGCAGTTCAGAACGCTCCAGGGAGTTGTGCAGTCGCCTGTGGACACCGAGTGTGCAGTCATCATCTTCCTCCTGTGCCAATAAACGACGAAAGTGAGCTTGGGAGGACGATACAGTAAGTAACAAAGCTACCCTCACTCTGTCCCCCAGTGGTCCTCTCCAGCCTGGCAGAGGGAGATATAGCACAGGCAGACCATGGCATAAAGAAAAGATATGTTTTGCCCTGAAGACAGGCCAATATAAAAGTTCTTGTAAATCAGGGTAGAATTACAAACTCTAATCTGCCAGGAGCTCCTAGGGTAGACTAGGGGGCTCACAACTGAACAGAAGCCCAACAAAGTACAGGGCTAGGAGCTGGAGTAGTACCCCTAAAGAGTAGCCAGTGGTACTCCAGTTCTGAACATACAAGCTGCCTACTTCTCAGGGTGAGAGCCACTTCCTTGTTGAGCAGGCAAGAAGTATGTTGAAACGGAAGGTGGATAGCTCTTTTCTGCTTCTCACCAAAAAGCTCACATGCCTTCCCTTTTACATGCCATGTTATAAATATCGTATACCCACCCCTCATCATGTCTCAGATAGCCAAACTACAGAAGACTGACATCCATCTTTCTCTCCGCTGCTCTGCGACCAGACTTCTGCCTTTTTAATGTTTTGCTTCGGTGCTCCCAAAGAACACAAGTATGAGTGAGAAAAGTGGCAGGGCACAAAGAAGAGTGGATTTAGAGAAAGGAATCCTGGATTCAAACCTTAGTTCTTCCAGTAATTCACTTGGGTAAGGCACTTTTTGTCTGACCTTCAGTTTCTACATCTAAAAAAAGGTGGTAATACCTGCCCATAGGGCTGCTGGAGAGACTGAATGGGGTTAGTGGATGGGGGAGTGCTTTGTCAAGTGTTAAATACCTTGCAAAGACTTAAGGGTTTTTCAAGTGAACATAGTCACCTGCCCTTTAAAAGAAGAGAACAATGTTTAGATCCAAAGTGTCATCATCACAGGCTGGATCCACATCTAAAAGATGTTCCCAAAGGCTTCCCCTTCAGATGCTATCCTGACCCTCAAATAAGGAGGAGCTTCTGGTTTTATCTATGCTGTAATGAGCTACATGAGCCAGCCCGGCTCTCAGACTGATGATATAATGGGCTTGATGGGTGCCCAATACATAAGATATAATGGTCCTGGTGGGATGCTTGGGCATAAAGTCTAAAAGGAGACTCTATATGCCAGCAGCTGGCAAGAAAGACCCACTGTCTGAACTGAGGCAGCCAAGAACGCGTTTCCCAGGCTCCCATTTCTGCTCTACAGAAAGGGCGCTGGGCTTCCTCCTCGCACTCCCAGCTCCCGCAGCTGCTGCTTGTGCCTCGGGGTGCCGCTCTGTGGAGCCAGAGGGGGAGCCCCTTTGGCTACTCTGGCAAACCAAGAGAACGGGCCCTCTTTCCATTTCATTAGGCCTTCGTACATGAAGGCAAATTGGGAAAAGGATTATGGAAATTCCTCCTCCTCTATCAAATACCTTCTTTAAGGTACTTTAAGTGCAAACCAACCTCATTTTCAACAGTTCTCAGAGCTACAGTGTTTCCTAGCCCCTCGGTCTCCATAATCCTGAGTCACACAGTCCAGGACAGAGGAAGAAAAGGAGAAAGAAAAGGAGAAAAGGGAAGTGGGAAGGGACAGTGGAGGGAGAGAGGGAAAGTGGGACTTACCGTGCCTGCCAAGTGGTTCCAGGCGGCAGCCGTGACAGCATCTCCTACCCGATTCTGCCGAGTAAGCACCTCGGACACAGTGAGGCTACTTTGGGTCCTTCTGGAAGAAAGCTCAGGGGCATCCCCTGGGTTTCCTACCCTTCGAGTACCCTGCTCACAAAGGTACGACCTGGGCTGATCAAGGTCTGAATAGTCTGTGGAAGACCGCTGAGTGTAGGCACTGGTAGATGCCACATTTTTAACTATTTGAGTTGGGAGATCTTCCAAAGAGTTCAAATCTCGCCTGCTCTTCCAGGCATTCCGCACAGTAACATGCCTGGCATCTGAAGGGCTCACCTCTGAAGCGGCACTATGGCTTTTCCACCTGATTGTCTCTGCAGGGGGTGCATGGTTATTCCTTTCCACAGGATCCGATGGCTTGATTATAATGCTGCTCCGAGAGACCACTGTTTCAGGCCTGTTCTTCAGGGGCCCATCTCCCATTCTTTCAGCTTCTGTGAACTGCAAGGTGATGTCATGTTTGTGAATGGAGAGCTCAAAGGGGGAGTTGGCATGGTTGCTAACTGATGCGAGCTCTGGTGGCCCAACCTGGATGTTGCTGGTGGCTGTGTGCCTTTCCCGCAGGCCCTCACCTGTGGTGGCTCTAGGGCTGTTGCTGCTGTCAGAGGGGTAGATAGTAATGCTGCTTGTAACTTTGTTTGGCCCTGGTTTGGAGGCAAATTTCTGTTTCTCCAAGGTGACCTCGGTTCCAGATCCTCCCATGATTTTTTTCACATCTTTATCAACAATGACGGGTTTGATGATGGCTCTAGACCGCAAGGCCTCCCTGGGGCTGAAGGGCCTTTGACTTTTTACCCCAGCACCATTGGCCTCTGGGAATTCCATGGCATTGGTGGAGGCTCTGACAGGTTTCACAGACTCATTTTCTGTCCCAACATCTTTATCATTCTCAAACAGGGAGGTTCTAAGGCCCCCTCGGGATTTGGCCTTTTCCCTAGAGTTGGGCTGTTTGTGTTCCGGCTCTGGGGTGATGGTGGTGTTTACCAATTTGGCAGTAACAAGAGACATCATATCCACATCATCATCTGAATCTGGCTTCTCTCTGACACTGGATTTGATGACTCGACACCTCAGTGCTTCATGCTGACTGCTGTCTTCCATCACAACTGCTACGGGTTGATCAACTCCTTCTTTATTTGGGGTTGAAAAACCCTGAAGGATGTTCTCTTGGCTTCTGGAGCTGTAAGGATACTTTGATAAAAGTGGAACCTTGGAATTTGGGGAACTAGTATCAGCCTCTGGGCCATTGGCAGCCTTTTTGCCCTTAGAGAGCCCTTCTGAGGAAGATCTTCGAGATGAGGCCAGAGCTCCAATGGCCTTAGAACTGCCAGGATCTGCAGTGTGAGTTACTTGACTTCCATTGCTAGGCACCTGCCCCCTCTTGCCAAATAGGGTCTCAGTGGATGTGTCAGAAGCCTTGTCAGCTCTACCCAATACGTCATTGGGAATGGATCCATGGGTGGTATCGCTAAATGTTCGTGTTGTCTTCTCTACTCTTCCCTTCAACCCACTCTCAGTACCTGGCTTGTGAGTACCCTTCCAAACTTTATTGTGTTCCTGAGCAGCTGGGGGATAGCGGCTAAGCACCGATGGCTGCTCCCTGGACTTCTTCCCTTCACTCTGAGAGGAGCCAGATGCAAATCGATCTTCAGTTCTCTTTGACTCCTGGGTCCCACTATCGGTACCTGCCCCTGTGTTGGAAGCTTTGCCTGCCCTCCTACTGGTGAAACTGGGAGAGGAAACCTGCCTGTTGCTCAGAGAATAGTTTTCATTGTTAAGAACAAACTCCCTGTTTCGGTGCCTTTCCCGCTTATGCTGAGGGGACAGTTCCCGAGATGTGTGCTTAGACACAGATGTCTCACCCCCATGGCCTCTAAACTTAGTCCTCTCATGCCTGCCCTTGCTGGACAGGAAAGCATCTTCCCCTTCCATCTCCCCATTCTCTAACTCTTTCTGTTTCTTGATTTGTAGCTTTATCTCCTCCAGCTGGCTGGCTAAGAGTTTGTTTTTATTTTGTTCACTTACGTAATTATCCTGAAGGTCATTATTTTTGGCCCTCATTTTCTTAAGCTCTTCTTCCAAAGATTCAAAATGTTTGAGTTGTGTCTTAAGTTTCTCAATCTCTTGGTTAAGGTCTTTGACTTTATTGTCTTCCTGATTTCGGTTCTTTTCATTTTCAGATTTATTTCTTGTTTCATTCTCTGCCTGCTTTAGATAGTCCAGAGTGCCCTTCCTTCTTGATTCTTTGGATGGCAGTGTGGAAGAGATACCATCCTCAATCCGCAGGTCATTCCTTTCCAGAAGATTAGAAGCATTCCTTGTATAATCTCGGTTCGTTTTTTTGTTCTGCTCCAGTTTCTGAGTGAGTTCTTTTATTAGTTTCTCATTTTCTTTCTCCTTTTCACTCAAGTATTTTCTCTCACTTACAAAGCTCAGAGTTAATGATTTCAGCTTCTCTAACTCTGACACTAAACTCTGCTCAGTTTTATCTAGGCGGTCCTCAGAAGATTCCAGTTCTTTCACTTTGACTCTGAGCATTTCCAGCTCAGAGGAGATTTTCTTTGTCAGGTTTCTCTCCTCATTCAGGCTCAAACAAAGTTGGGTACAGTCATTCTTACTCCTGTTAAAGGCTTCCTCTAGCTTCTCCAGTTCAGCCATTCGTTTCTGAAGCCTCTCTATCTCAGATTTCAGCTCCCGGGTAAGGCTTTCCTCCTCTTCAAGTTTTTCCTTCATCAACCGACACAGGTCCTCTGCTCTCTTAATTTCCTCATCTTTGCCTTCGATTCTCAGCACTCGCTGGCGCAGCACTTCGATCTCAGCCAGCATGCTGGAGTTGCTGCCTTCCGCCTGAATCACCTTGTCCTGGAGATCTAGGAGCTCATCCTCTGCTTTCTGGAGGTTTTTTGTGGCTTCTTCCAACTCATCAAGGCGACGGCTTAGACTCTGTAATTTAAATCGCAGGTGGCGGCTGGAGGCAGTTTCCTTGTAGTTTGTAAACTCGGCCATGTTTACTGCCAGCCAGTGTGGGCTCCTAGAGGCATCCAGTTCCACTCGAGGGGATGAGAAATGGTTACCTTTCTCTTGGCATCCACAGCCTTCTTTGGCAGCTGGAGACCATTATCACTCTACAGAAGGAAAGCATACAGCATGTCAAACAGCAAATAAAAAATCTGCATGTCAGCTCCCAGCTCCCGTATGCAATTCTTGTGCCTGAAACATAGCAGGAATTTGGATAAACCTGCAGGATAAGACTAGTTCTTTATGGCTGATAATGAGCTGATATCTAGTCTCAGCCTAATGAAGAATGCCACCAGTGGTAGCACGGCAGAAAGACACAGTGGGCTTTAAGAAAATCTTTGCCATTTGTCACCTGCATAATCTCAGGGGAGTCATTAACTTTTCTATAAATCATTAAGTAAGCAGCCTCAGTTTTACTTAGTTGTAAAATAAGGATAATGATGCCTACCTACCACCTCTCTCCCCAGTACTGTTCTGAGCTAGTGTATGGAAAGCTCTTGGTAGCAAGGCAATAAACAATTTTAAGATTATTAAGAACTACAGCTTCTGGGTAGAAGTAGACTAGTGAAAAAAAAAATCACCTTATTGACATAGGAAGATAACAGGACCTGGGCTCTATTAAGGCAAAAAAGGAGGACAGCACGCCTAGAGAATACTTGGGCCTGCCTTCACTTTAAGTTCACAGTCCAAATTTATACTGCCTGAGTGGTCTAGGATGACTTGTTCTCACTGAGAATCTAACCCAAAAATGGTCTTAGCCTGATAATATCCCTGGGAAACCTACCAGAGGTAAACAAAAATAGTCTAGAAATGGATTCCCTACCAAGTTCACACTACATAAAAGTCATACAGATAAAGTCCCGCTGAATTTGAGCTTATAATTCCAAACTACAAAATGTAAGGACCACTCTTTCGCTATAAACAAAGGTTTATACCAATAAGAACCAAAGTAAGATAGGCTATAGATCATAAAGTAAGTACATTCCAATATTTAAAGTCATAAAACAGGAGACAATAACAAGATGTATCAACAAAGATCAAGAGATTTTAAAATTAACCAAATAAAATTGCTACAAATGTAAAGAAAATTAGCAAATAGATGAAAATGAAGGGTATAGTGGTTAAGAAGATATACAAGGAAACTACAAAAAGCAGCACAGAATTAAAGATTGAAAAAGTGAATGAGGTTAACAGACATAGAGAAAATATAAAAGTCCAAAGCTGAGTTTATCAAGTAGTACAAAAGGAATAGACAGACTAGAGGAGAGGCAGTATTTGAAGAACTACTAGCTAACAATTTTCAAGAGCTGTTAAAAGACATAGAATGGATCTTGATATTCAGAAAACAAAGTTCCCAACCAAAATTAAATCTGTGCCTAGATGAGAACAAGAAGAATATAAAAACCTAAATGTCTATTTTGTTGATAACAGACCCTCCCTGAAAGACCTATTTTCTGAATGTACTTCAGAATACAGAAACTGATCACTTGAGGAAAGCAGGAGATGGAAGGAATGGTAAGCAAATAACCCAAACAAGCACAGACTCAGTTAAACAATAAAAACCAACTGGGCGGGATAAAATCAAAGTGGAACTAAAACACAGGACTGTAACAACATGTAAGTCAGCAAGAGAAATCAGAATTCAAGTAAAACACTGTATTCTTTGGGAAGAGAGGATAGAGTTATTGTAACTAATTTTAGACCTTGTTAATAAGAATAATCATATACTGAGAGGGCATTAATAAGCAATATATAAAGAATTGTAACATCATTTAACAGCGACCAAAAAAAACCCCCTCATTTTTAAATGGGTAAATAACTTGAATAGAAATTTCTTCAAAGATGATATTCAAGTGACAACAAACATGAAAAGATGTTCAACATCACTACTCATTCAGGAAATGCAAATCAAAACCACATTGAGATAACCACCTCACACCCACCAGGATGGCTACTATCAAAAAACAGAAACAAATGTTGGTGAGGATATAGAGAAATTAGAACCCTTGTGGACTGTTTGTTGGTGAGAAAATAAAATGGCACAACCACTATGGAAAACAGTATGGCAGTCCCTCAAAAAATTAAAAATAGAATTACTACATGAGCCAGCGATTCCACTCTTGGTATATAACCAAAAAAACTTGAAAGCAGGATCTCAAAGAGATTTGCACACCTATGTTCATAGCATTATTTGCAATAGTAAAAAGGTGTAAGCAATGTAAGTGTCTATAAGGGGATGAATGGATACACAAAATGTGAATCCATTAATACAATGAAATATTGTTGTATTAAAAAGGAAGTAAATTCTGACACATGCTACAACATGGATGAACCTTGATGACATTTTGCTAAGTGAAAGAATCCAGTCACAAAAGACAAAAACTGCATATCACTTACATGTTGTACCTAGAATAGTCAAAGTCAGAGAAACAATGTGGAATGGTGGTTGCTGGGGTAAGGGGAAATGGAGGTTTGTCATTTAATGAGCACAGAGTTTCATTTCTGCAAGATAAAAAAATTGGTTGCATAATGTGAATATATACTTAACACTATAGAACTGTACACTCAAAAATGGTTAAGAGGATACTTTTTTTGTTATGCATTTTTTTTTACCACAATAAAAAATAACTAAAAAGTTTAAGGCAGGAGAAAAGTAAAAAGCATAGATAGAGAAAGTGAGGCAAATTTCCAGTTTCTGGTCCAACATGTAAGCAGCTCAGAGGTCATCACTTTGTCCAAACAAAGAGCTGAACAAAATGAAAATTAACAACAACTCTTAGATCCATATGAGAACTGAGGTCACAGAGAAAACCACTTCACTCCAAAATTAGACAAGTGGATTCAGAAAAGCACCATTTCCACAGCAGAAACCCCCAAAGGAACTAGTACCACCATAGAAAACTTAAACTGCAACTGACAAATTGCTGGAGGCTCAGTGTGGAAAGCTCAAGAGTTAAAAACTCTCAGTAGGGGATCTCAGTCTCAGAGGGGATGCACCACACTGTGAGCTGTACTTCGAGGAGCAGTAACAGGCTCTCACAGTAAAGATGAGAGAAAACACCTTATGCTTCTGTTAACGTAAGTAGCTAGATATTAATAAAGGAAGGGAGCAAAGGGAATCAGACATTATTAAGCATAATGAACTAGGGAGCATAAGCCTGCTTCACCAGGAAGTTGCAGCATTCACAGACACCCCAGGGGATTACAGCAAGGGGATTTAATACCCCTTGGTCTCCCTTTGTAGGTGGAAGGACCACTTTTCAATCTCCCCAGAGGACAACAGGTCCATTCACCCAGACGATGCTAGGGAGGAATAAAAAAAACCAAGGGGAAATTTTTCTGCTGGGCACATGCCAGGTAAAAGTAAAAGGGACAGACAGGGAGGCACTTTTGTAAGGCATGCACATTAGGAACTAAGATGGAGACCATAAGGGACAGTATCTAGCCTGGGAAAAGGCTCAGATTAGTTAAAGGACACAGAACCCTGGAAGATCTAGGAAATAGGTAGGTTAAAGGGAAGACCCAACCCAGCCTGTGAAAGATTAGAATGTTGGGTTAGTTTTAAGGAGTACCTGGTCTTTCCTAAGCCTGAGATAATATAACTCAAAGAGCTCCCTCTCTCTCCCTAACACACCCTTGCCCCACTCACTCACATGTTTTCTCTCCATAGCAGCCATGTGGCCCTAGAGCCGCCTGGGCCCTGTGGCAGACTTCATATGTGTGGGCACACAGCCAGCCAGAGCACAGCTGGGAACACAGACTAAGCTAGCTGGGTGGTGACAAACACAGAACTGGATTGAATTAATGACACAGAACTTTTGGACCTTGGTCTTTGTACTGGGCTTGATGAAGACAAAACTGGACTTTTTCCAAGACAGGATGGAAAGAGATGGAACCCAGGGAGCAGTTCTTTGATTCTGCTTCTACAATAAAAGCTTACCATGCCACAGCCTCCCATATGTGGGTCCCTGGAATGCCTTTCTTGCGACTCAATAAAAGAACTTCATTTCTAAACACTTCTAGAAGAGGGAGCCTAATCTATGTGTTTTATCAGAGCCTAACTGACCTGGGGGAAGTTTCCGCCAACCTTCCATGTGGAAGAAGGGAAATACCCGACTCCAGCCCACTCCAGCTATCCTGAACCACCTAAAGGGGCAGGGTGGGGTACATGAGGATGAGGATTGGATAATAAGAAGCACTTGTGAAGTTCACAGACCAAGGGAAAAAAGTAAAAAGCATAGATAGGGAAAGTGAGGCAGATTTCCAGTTTCTGGTCCAACATGTAAGCAGCTCAGAAGTCATCACTTTGTCCAAATAAGTAAAGAGCTGAACAAAATGAAAATTAACAACAACTCTTAGATCCATATGAGAACTGAGGTCACAGAGAAGCTCAGGCTCACTAAAAGACTGAGACTCAATCATAGAACAGCAGAATATTTCCTTCACCCTGCACCTTACCACTACATCACTAAAAGCCTATTTACCTCATTCTTTTTACCTAAGACGTCATGTCTGACTTTCAACAAAAAATTACAAGGCATACTAAAAGAAAACACACACACACACACACACACACACACACACACACCAGTTTGAAGAGACAGAGAAAGCATCAGACCCAGACTCGACAACAGACCCAGACAGAGAAAGCATCAGACATAGCAGAGATGTTGGAATTATCAGGACAGAAATTAAAACAACTATGAACATATGCTGAATACTCCAATGGAAAAAGTAGGTAACATGTGAGAACATATGGGTAATGTAATAAATGAAAATTCTAGGGAAGAATAAAATGGAAATGTAAAAGATCAAAAACACTAACAGAAATTACGAATGCCTCTGTCTCATTACTACATGAGACGCAACTGGGTTAAGAATGTCTAAGCTTGAGGATATGTCAATAGAAACTTCCAAGCCTGAAAAGCAAAGAAAAAAAGACTGAAAAAATTGGAACACACTAACCAAGAAGTGGGGGACAACTACAAAAGGTGTTATGTAATGGGAATACCAGAAGAAGAAAGGAAGAGAAGAAAAAATGACAGAATATCCCAAAATTAATGAATGTCAGATACCAAACCACAAAGCTTTGAACACAAAGATAAAT